TTTAATCCCAGACAGCGGTGTCACACACCTTTAATCCCAGACAGCAGGGTCACACACCTTTAATCCCAGACAGCAGTGTCACACACCTTTAATCCCAGTACCTGTGAGTCACATGACAGATGTGACGTGGGTGGTTGTGACTGCAGAGGAGAAAGACGAGTCAAGAAGAGTGTCCATATGTTTTGTCTTCTTCTAAGTAGAATTATGAACCACTGAATAGTGTTTATTTTGTTTTTGTTACAGACTAGAAGCAGCAAAAGATGATTATCGAATACGCTGTGAAGAGTTAGAAAAGGAAATCTCTGAGCTTCGTCAGCAGAATGATGAGCTAACCACCTTGGCAGATGAAGCTCAGTCTCTAAAGGATGAAATAGACGTTCTCAGGTAAACAGTTTCTCTTGAGGAATATCAGACTCACTGCCACCCAGAACAGCTCCATTGCAGATGTTACAAACTCTGGCTTCTCTGAGCACACATGTATTTATAAAGTTTTGGTGAATAGCTAAGAGGCTGTATAAATACTTGAGTTGGTAGGACAAATATCAGATAAATGCTATATACTCATGGCCATCATTTCACTTACCTAGCACTAACTTTTACTTCTTGCTACTCTTCTTTGATTCTGAGCCCTCCAGGCCCTTAGTCTTTGTCTTAAATACTGTCAAGTATTCTCTGTATAGTACCTCACTATTCGCCATTCTGTTTCTTTCACAGCCTCATCCTCTTTGGGATCCCCTTTTTGTTTCTAGAATACTGACGTGTACAGAGAAAATTACCTAGTTCTGTAATGTAGTCCTATTACGTATTAGGGATCTTTTTCTCTTACCCCGGCCCACCCCTCATAGCACATAGCCCTGTCTCCCATTTCTCTCATAGTCTTTTTATGACTTTTATAAAGTGTTTTTATAACGCTTTCTATCTTATCTGTCTGCTACCCACCACACCCCATCGCTAGACGGCTTGAGTCCTACCACCAAGAGGAAAGCACCTGTGCATGGTTAACTCTCCGTGCCTCCTTGCAATCACACCCAAAGACTACGTGTTAAATTTACAGTCTCCTCAACCCCCAAAATTTGTCATTCTCTTTCTCCATTTCTCTACTGAAATCTTAACTGGGGTTCATTGGTAACATAGTAATTGCCAAATCATTTGAACATTCCACAATTTATTTTACTTTTCCGCTAAGTGTGATTTTACTGGTTACTCTCCTGATAACTTTCTTTACATTTTAGACATTCTTAATGGCATATTTTTCATAATTTAGGTTATAATTGTTTTTCTTGACCTAAAAAAAACCTAGATTCACTTTAGATTTTATGATTTAATACATGTTAAGTCCTGATATTGTCTCCTATTTTAACTTTGTCTGAAACAGCTTTACAGCTGTGGATTATTTCTGACAAATTTCCCATCTCCTTTCAGACACTCTTCTGATAAAGTATCTAAACTAGAAGGTCAAGTCGAATCTTATAAGAAGAAGCTGGAAGACCTTGGGGATTTGAGGCGGCAGGTTAAACTTTTAGAAGAAAAGAATACTATATACATGCAGAACACTGTCAGTCTGGAGGAAGAATTAAGAAAAGCTAATGCAGCCCGAGGTCAGCTTGAGACATACAAGAGACAGGTAAGAGAACACAAGCAGAATTCTTCTTGCTGCTGCGTGCAAGGGCAACTCCACAACACATCGCTTTTGAAAACTGTCACTTCCAGGGTTTTTGGCCAAAGTCAAGTGAAAACCAGTTTTATTTTTGTAATTTCTCTTAGTCACTGTGAAGAGACACTATTACCAGGCAGCTCCAACAAAAGAAAGCATTTAATTGGGGGCTTGCAGTTCCGGAGGTTTAGCCCATTATCATCGTGGTGGGGGAGCATCACTACAGGCAGACATGGTGCTGGAGAAGTAGCTGAGAGCTCTGCATCCTGATCTGCAGGCAGCAGGAACAGATAGGGAGCCACTGGGCCTGGCTTGAGCTTCTGAAACCCCACAGCCTACCCGCTTCCCCTCCTTGGTAACACACTTTCTCTTTCAAGTCCACCTGCTAATTCCTTCTAATCCTTTCAAGAACTCCACTTCCTGGTAACTAAGCATTCAAATATGTGAGCCTGTAGAGGTCATTCTTATTTAACCACCACATGATTCTTAACTGTTTTTATATTTATTTCTTTTTATTACATTTTATTTATTTGATTGCGGGGGGCATAGGTATGCCTTAACATACATTTGGAGGTCCTAGGACAACCTGCAGGAATCTGCTCTCTCCTTTCACCATGTGGGTTCTGGGTAACGAACTCAGATCATCTGGCTATTCAGCAGATGCCTTAAACCCATACATCGTGAGTGGCTTCCAAATTTCTTTGGTTGATGTATTTTCTTCTCAGTACTCTATTATAAAAGTTTCAATTATATGGTAAACTTAAGGAACTTCCTGAAATACTGAATTTGAATATGGATTGAAATTACTCAAAAGTATAGCCAAAAAAAATACTTGTTCTTAAAACATATCCAATAGGAAATGAGCGTCAATATATTTAGAGGAGAAAGTAAAAAGAAATATAGAATATTATTTGAAGGGAAAATCACTTAACATTTTTGGAACTAATAAAGCATATCTAATTTAGAATTAAGAGAAAATGTATATCTAGAAATATTATAGCAAACTGCATAGAACACCAATTCTCTGTGCCTATTCACAATAGTATTCTTAATACTCCTTTTAATATTTTTCTTTCTGCAAGTTCTCTGTGTGTGGTTGCTCTGGTCATGGTCTTGTTATGCCCAAATCCGTGGGTCCCCACAAAAACAAACAAAGGAGACCGAGTTCCATATGTAAAAGCAAAGGACCTTTATTTTAATAAAGTTTGCAAACTCCGTCTCTCTGCAAGACCAACGTATTGGAATATCAGGAGAGCCCCAAACTCAATTAGAATTGGTTTTTATAGTAGTAAAGATGGGGGTGAGGGGTTTCTCAGGTTCGGGACCCCTGATTGGCTGACATTTGTGTAGGGGTGTCCTGGTGAAGTGCTGGCAGGTGTTTCTATCTACAGTGCTTAGAATGTCAGGAAACTCCTTTGAATGGTTTGCTCTTGGGTGGGGGTCAGGTAATCTTGGCCTGCCAGGCATTGTCTCAGGGTAAACTATTGAGACTCCAGACTCCATTTAAATTTATCGATGGCCAGAGTCCCAGGTGATAATGGTTGGAGGAAGTAAAGAATTTCCTTTCTGCCCAGACTTAGATTATCATGGCTGGCCCTCACAGTCTCATGTTCATAAAATGTGTACTTCTTCCCCTGCATCTCCTGTCTAAGGAAGAACCCCAGACCATGTGTGTGCTGGGCAAGCGTTCTCCTACTGAACAATATCCTTCACCTCTGGTATTTTCAGACAGGGTCTTCCTTCTTCCTGTGTACCTTAACTAGACTTGCCATGCAGCATAGACTGTGCCACTGCCTAATGAGTGCTGGGATCACAGACATCCACTCCTATCTAGTGAATGTGTTATATTTGACAGTTTCAATCTGAAATCTTTGGTGAATTTATAAAACTGTAATTGTTGGTAATATTCCTTGATTAATTGCAGCTTTTTCTCATTATCTGCATAATTTCAGTCTTGCCTATTCATTAGTTCTTTGGGGAATTGTGATGGTCCTGAATTGCTGGGTTTTTCTCCAGTCAGTTTTTGTTTCCTCAAGCCATGTTTCCCAGCATTAGCATGCAGAACCACTTCTCTTGCCTGTGCTTGCATTCCCCAGACAAAACAAGTAGTGAAGATGAAAACACGCATCTAAATATCAGCTGGCCGGGGTTACACTTTTCCAAGGTGTTTCCCTTTAACCCCAGAGCACTCATTTTTCTTGCCTGCTGATGGATCTTCCTTTCTTCTTCCCTCCATCCACCCCTCCCTTCCCCTGAGATAGTGCATATAGTGCGTAGCCCTGGCGTGTCAGGAGTTTACAGAGATTGCCTAACGCTGCCTCTTGAGTGCTGGGATTAAAAGTGTGCACCTCCATACCCAGACTGATCATTTTTTTTCTCCTTACTCTTTACAGCCAGAACTATTTAATGACCACTTGATTCCTGTTATACTCAAGCTCTAGGTTCCTGTTATTGGCATTGGCACCTCTCATTATCCACAGCTTCTGCATGAACTTCTCACAGGGGTTTTAGCGTCTTACAAGATTAACTATGTAATTTATCATTTCCTCCTATCTTTCCTTGCTGCTTCTTTGCTTCTCAGTGTTTTTGCTAGAAATGAAGGCCCTCTGATAATTAATACCATTGTTCTAGATGACTCTAGTTTAGGAGCCTCTCTTAAGCTCCTAATTAAGCCTATGCAGATTTTAGTTCCTGTTCTCTCCCTTCTATTAAACTGGTGGATTGTATAACATTTAGTCAAGTATGGTGGGAATAGAGTTTTCATATACCTGTAGAAGAAAATGTTCTTTTTTTAAAATTTTGTTTAGTTGGGGGAGCATGCTGAGGATTGAATTTAAGGCTTTGTGCACGGTAATAAGCATGTGCTCTACCTTTGAGCTATATTCTACCACCTTGTGATCATTTCTAATATTTCAAATTATAAAAACTAAGATTTTTATATAATTTGTGTATTTTGTATCAGGTTGTAGAGCTGCAAAATAGATTATCTGATGAATCAAAGAAAGCAGATAAATTAGATTTTGAATACAAGCGGCTAAAAGAAAAAGTTGATGGTCTTCAGAAAGAAAAAGATGTGAGTATGTAATGGGCATTTTGTTTTTCAGAAGTGCTAACATTAAGACTGAAATTTAATTTTTGACTGTATTAATTCCTTCTTTTAATTGTTCTACTTTTAAGTCACAATTTTTCTCTTTTTCTCAGAAATAAATAAAAGCTAGGACTAGTTTTACTCCAGTTCTCATTTCTTTAATATACATATATTTTTATCACTGGTCTCTCTTTACTTCTTCTGTTGACTTCCTCTATGTATAGCCCTTCTGTTTGCTGTGTGACTAGTATGGAGGACACTGCTGCACTGTTGTTTAGCATTTCTGCTTTTCACAGGTTATAAGTATTTAGTCTTTATCCAGACTCATTATTGAATGAAAAGATATTAAGAACATAGTTAAGGGTGGACTAATTAGCTTTGTGTCTCATGCTTAAACTTGAATGTGTATTACCATGTAATAATAGATACTTGGTATTGTAAAAGTAGAAGATAAAAAAGACAATCATTTTCACCTGTTTCTACTCCCATGATCTCCATAAAAGATCAAAACTAAAAATAAGCCCATGTTCACTGTTTATCTTCTTCCTGGATAAGGCCTCGATTACTACTTAGTAAATCTGTAGAGCTGACCTTTGCTTTATGTTACTTTAGAGGTTAAGAACAGAAAGGGATTCTCTGAAGGAAACCATTGAAGAGCTCCGATGTGTCCAGGCTCAGGAGGGGCAGCTCACCACTCAAGGTAAGAGCCCTGTAACTCCGGAGTCTAGCTCGGAAGTCAGCAAAGGTGTTGTCTTCACTCTAAGATGATTGCACAGATAGATGGGCCAACAAAAGAAAAGGAATGAATTTTTTAAACTGTTAACCAAGATCTTGACAGGCTACAGTTGGGCTTTGGGCTTACTTAGCAACTTTAAAGCAATTTTGTAATCTCTTGAGTTTTACAAGTCAAAATCATTTAACGTGACACTCTTATTCTGAAAAATCTAACCCTTTCCAAGTTGGTGATTTCCACAAAAAGTGGAATGGATTTTAAATCATTAAGAAATTTGTATCTAGCCATGTGGTGGTGGTGCATACCTTTAATCCCAGCACTTGGGAGGCAGAGGCAGGCGGATCTCTGTGAGTTTGTGGCCAGCCTGGTCTACAAGAGCTAGTTCCAGGACAGGCTGCAAAGCTACAGAGAAACCCTATCCCAAAAAACTAAAATTTAAATAAGTAAATCAATAACTTGTATTTGGGCTGGAGAGCCTCCTCCAGAGCGCTGGCTATTCTTGCAATAGCCACATGGCAGCTCATGTAACTCCAGTCCCAGGGAATCCACCATCCTCTTCTGTCTTCTGCAGCACTACAAGCACATGGTACACTGAAAATATGTGAAAGCAAACCACTCCTACACATAAAATACAAAAATAAGTCTTTAAAAAAAGACTTATGAATTCTTAAAAGAAAAGCTTTTAAGAAAAACAAAGCCATATATATATATATATATATCTTCTTTCTCAAAGGGATTAATGCTTGGCTTAGGATTTGCCCTCTTCTGTGGAAGGATGCTTAAAAGAAATCCCACACTAGCTCAGAATTGAGAAATAGATGGTTATTTATTTAGGGGTAAACTCACAAATCAGAATCCTCTGCTTGAACGGAGAACAAACCGAATCCAGCAACAGAAAGAGGGCAGCCGCATGCTCTATATCAGCTTATATAGTATAAGAGGCCACGCCCCGGTGGGCGGTAACCACTGCCTGTAAGACTTCCTTCAGCACTCTTCCCCTCTTTACTCACAGTAGGTGACTGGCAATTCCTGCTACAAGCTTCACTCTTAACCAAACCCTGACTTTTTATTTACTTGGAACAGTTTTCCATGACTACCCTTGGTTTTCCTCTCCTTGTTCCCACAAAGAACTTCTCTGTCAGTCCCCTCTGCTCTGACTCCACTCACAAACATCAGCTACTGTGGCCTTGCTGTCATACCTCTCTTTTCTCTCTCCTCTTGGCCTGTTTGCAGACCCTAGTTCAGACAGCCACGGTTCTCTCAACATATAGTTCAGATGACCAGTGCTAGCTGAAGGAGAGAGGGAGAAATGTATCCAGAAACATGTACGTACGTGCATGCATACATACAGTGAGGTGGTTATCCTCACCAAATATACAGTATTTCTTAATATATTTGGTTCTTCTTTGTACCCCTGCAATTCTTTCACTTTTTTTTTCTCATCAGCTCTCCATTAAGGTTTTTTAGAATTTTTAGAATCTAACTTGAACCTTATCCTCTTTACTCTCAGTTCCCATGTTGTCAAGAAAAAACAGCCTGTCTTTTTTAAACTCATGTTTATTATTTGCTATATAAAAATCTACATGGTTGAATGTTTTTTGTGAGGTTTTTTCCTCTAGAACTGTACCCAAATGATTAAAGAATAGCTCCTAAGAATAAAATTGCAGAACTACCTAAATGTTTAGCAATATAATTGTGACATTTTTATTCACCAGTAAACTAAGTTACTAAAGAGTAAGGGAGGAAGTATAATATGCTGGGTGTAGTGGGCAGACCTTTTATCCCAGCACTCAGGAGGTAGAGACTGGTAAATCAGCCTGATAGCCTGATCTACATAGTGAGTTCCAGACCAGCCAGGACATCACAGTGAGACCTTTTCTCAAAAAATAAAAATAAGAAATATCTGAATGTTGTAATAATGAGTTTCACTATAACATTATGTCCATATATTTTGTATTTTGGTCATTTTCACCCATTACCTTTTCATGGCCACTCATAACTTCTGCTGACTATTTACCTTTCTTGTGAGACTCTTAATCCACGATTGACTGTGACAGGCCTAATCTTATCCAGGTAATCACAGCTGCTGAGAGGTAGAAAGGACAGATCCCCTCCCTGCAGCTTTACATTTTTTTCCTTCCCTTTTTCTCTGATATTTTGTGAGCCTTAGGTTGTGTGATGCAGATGGCCCAGTTAGGTCTAAGGAAAAGTAGTCACTTTTCTCGCAGTGTGACCAGTTAGAAATGCTGAAGTAACTACTACCACTGCAAAGAAAAAAATAAAGCAAATCAAAGCAACAAAAGAAAGCACTTTTCTGGGCTGGAGAGATGGCTCAGAGGTTAAGAGCATTGCCTGCTCTTCCAAAGGTCCTGAGTTCAATTCCCGGCAACCACATGGTGGCTCACAACTATCTGTAATGGGGTCTGGTGCCCTTTTCTGACCTGTGGGCATACACACAGAAAGAATATTGTATACATAATAAATAAAAAAGAAAACACTTTACTGATCAATGCTGAAAATAGTAAGCACTAACCTGTGGCTCCAATGTTCACATTTCATAGGCATTTTGACAGGCATATCATATCCCTTTAACAAAACAATAGCAGTAGCTTCCCCTCTAGAACCTATGACCCCTTACCTCCTAGGTTTATAATACCTGACCTAATAATCAGGGCCTCAAGTCCAACCAGAAGGCAGTTGTTTACCCCTGCTTTAGCCATGCCACTGTCCTACCAGTAGGCTTATTTTTGCTTGTCAGGTCAGACATGTAGCACACAAGGTCCACACTGAGTAAGGCTCTTGATGATAATTTCCCCCACCAGCCTCCATGGCACTTCATTGCTGTGAGTGCAGCTAAGCAGAGAAGACACTTCCAGCTCAGGTATAGCTTGACTGCTGTATGCTCTGCATCCAAAACATACGGTGTGTTCACCAAAAGAATCTTACCATTAATGGAGTTCTGGTGAGCAACCAATAAAAACATGTACTGTTTTAAGGGTCTTGGGTCTTCCTGACAAATAGTTTATAGGTAAGGTTTCGTAGTGGAACTTTTTTAAAGTTTCTTACATGTAAGATATATGTATTTATATATATGTTTGTAAGAATATGCATAATTATGGACACATGAAGGCCCAGAGAGGATGCCAGATCCCTCAGAACTGCAGTTAGAGATGTGCATAGGACAACCACCTTGTCGGTTGGTTCTAGCACTCAAACTTTGCAGTGGACCTTCTCTCCATCCCTTGTTTTATTTATTTCCTAGTGGCTTTTTCATGCAAACTTGGTTTAGTCCCCCTCCCCCAGTTTCACTGCCTGCATCTCTTTACTCTGCCCATCCCCAGCATTCATTTCATAAGTGTTCTGTCACCCTCTCTCCCTTAAAGCCGCTCAGTTTTCTTCACAGCTCTCACTGTCCATCAGTTGAGGTGCTCTTGTCAACAGAGCAGCTCTAAGCAGGGGTGTGCACACATTTTGTGATAGGATAGAGACTTCCTTGAGTATGTGCCCAGGAATGATAAAGCTGGACTCACATGTTACTTCTGTTTTTAGTGTTTGAGGAACCTTCACACTGATTTCCATATTGGCTGTACCAGTGTGCACTTGCACCAACAGTGAATAAGGTTTCCCCTCTCCCATGTTCAAGCTGGTGTCATTTCTTTTTCTTTTTATCTTTCTTTCTTTCTTTTTTTATGGTTTTTTGAGACAGGGTTTTACTGTTTTAGCTCTGACTGTCCTGAAACTCACTTTGTAGACCAGGCTGGCCTCAAAATTGCAGAGATCGCCTGCCTCTGCCTCCTGAGTGCTGGGTTAAAGGTGTGCACCACCCAACTGTCATTTATTTTCTTAATGATAGTCTGATTATGAGATAGAATAGCAAAGTAATTTTAATTTGAACTTATTCCCTGTCTATGTGTATCCCGTTTATTTCCTTCTTGAGTCTTACTGCACTAGCTAAGACCTGTAGGGTATTGAACAAGAGTGGGAAAGGTGTGCACCTTTCCTGTTGAGAACTTTAATGGAGAACTCCTTCAGGGGCAGGTATGGAGCTCATTGTCAGCCACGTGAGCAAAATGAGCATCGCTTCAGTTTGTACAGAAAAGGGCATTTGACAAATTCCAACACCTACTCATAATTTTAAAAAACTCAGTATGCCAGGAATAGATTTCCTCAACATGATAAAGAAACATTTAGAAAAACCTCAGTGGTGAAAGAATGAAAGTTTTTCCTCTAAGACCAGGAAGAAAACAAGGATATTTGCTATCACTACTTTTCCTCAGGATAGTATTAAAATTTCTAGCCAGAGCAGTTAGTGAAAGGGGAGTGGGGAGGAAGGAGAAAATGGATTGTGTATTTTGCATCCAAATGCAGAAGAATGAAACTGACTCAAAGACTAAATATAAGAGCTATTGTAGGGGAACATTTTGATGACATTGAATTTGAAAATAATCCCCTGAAATTGGTGCCAAAGGCATAGGCAACAAAAAAAAATGAATGAAGAGGACTCTATCAATATTGAAAATGTTAATGCACCAAAACACTAGAGTAGGGTAGAGCAGGGTAGAGGATCTACAGAGTGGAAGAAAGTATTTGCATTTGCAGATATCTGAGTGAATTAATATCCAGGGGCTAGGGAGGTGGCTCAGTGGGAAAGTGCTTGCTGTTGTGGAAGTAGGAGTTTCTTAAGTTGACTTGCCACTCAGTGAGAAGCCCTGCCTCAGAATATAAACCAGTGGGCTGGAGAGATGGCTCAGTGGTTAAAAGCACGGGCTGCTCTTCCAAAGGAAGAGCATCAACCACGAGGCTGCTCTTAACCATCTGTAACTCTGGTTCCAGAGGATCCCATGCCCTCTTCTGGCTACTTTGGATGCTCAGAACACACATGCTACACAAATATAGAGTGCAGGGTGATTTTCTGTCTTCTACATATGATCTCATACATGTACATGAATATATGATGTGCGCAGAGAGAATATCCAGGCTATCTGAAGAATTTATAAAAATTGAACAATAGTAAAAATAAAAATTCCACACATGAACAAAGGATTTGAATAGAAAGAACTATGTATCTCCAAAGAAGATAAACAGATGGTCAGTAAACACATGAAATAGTGATATCATTCAGTGATCACTAGATAAAGGTAAATCAATCAGTGGGTTACCACAAACTAATTAGTGAGGCTAATGTTTTTCCCACTACCACCATGACCCCAAGGATAGAAAAATAAATGTTGATTAGAATTGGTTGGGAGTAATTGAACCATTATGCATTACTGGTGGGATGGAGCAATGCTGTGAAAATAAAATTGATAGCTTCTAAAAATGTTTAAACATAAAATAGCATGTGATTCATCAGATTCACTTGTAAGTACATCACTAAAGGAACTGAAAGTGGATGCAGCCCAATAATTGTACACATCCAGCTTTACTGTATATACACATTATATAATTACATACACATAGCCTTATTCACAGTCACCACAAAGCAGAAATAATGCACATCTGTCTCAGCTTAGATACAGTAAATACGCACAATGGAATATTACTGAACAGTAAAAGGAAGAAAGTTCTGCAAAGTGCTGTAATGTGGACAGTCATCAAAGTATTGTGCTTACTGAATAAAAAAGACCAATACGTGATTGCTTACATGTCTAGGCAGACTAAAAATAGAACTGAGGTTACCAGGGAATCGGGCAGGAAGATTGGAATAATCTAATTGTTATAGAGTTTCTGACTAGACAACATTGAAATGTACTTAATGGTATGTAGTTGGACTGTTACAGTTGTTTTAATGATCAGTTAATTTTGTAAGTCTACTTTAACTTTTATTTGAGAAAATTGGTGATTTTTGCCTAGCATCCACAGAGCCAGATTCAAGTACTAATACCATAAAATAAACAACAACAATCTAAATAAAATTTTAAAAACCTTTGAATTCTTTAGCTGTTAAAATTCAGAGTCAAGGTTGTGCTTTCCTGCAGAAACTATATCTCTTAAGCAAAGGAGGTAGCTGTGCTTCCCTAACTGTATTCTTCTCTGTGTATTTATAGGGTTAATGCCTCTGGGAAGCCAGGAATCTTCAGACAGCCTCGCAGCAGAGATTATTACACCGGAAATCAGGTAACGAGGATGACAGTGGCAGTCAGTCCCTCCACACAACATCCTTGTAGAGAACTTTCTCTCCAATGGAAAAAGAACTAGCTCCTCTTTTTGATGGACATTTTAGTCTGAACTCAGTATTAAATTTTCATGTTTTCAGTACTTTAGAAGCTTTTTAAATTGTCAAGAGAACGAATTATTTTTACTTGAGTGAGGCAGTCTTTCACACTACAAAAGCAAAACTCACATATCCCATTTTGGAACCTCAGCAGACAGCATGAAAGTACTCAAGACAAAGGTTGTACTTAGCTATCACCCTAATAAACAGTTAATTACTAAGATTTATCTATTAACCACAAGGTACAAATAGAGGAACTCTTTCCCTCTGTAGCTACTTCCCTCAATATTCCTCACCTGTTATCTAGTCGTAGCTTAGAGACCTCGTTTCCTTCAGTTCATTTCTCAGCGTTATGAATATGACTGAAAAATGAGAAGAGGTGAACAAGTGTGTAGAAGGTAATGATTAATCCTGAACATGGCTCTTACTTTTGGACCGGTTTGTCATTGTCTTTATCATATATTGTCCATCAGGTCCCATCTTAACGCTGTGTGTTTTGTGTATTCTGTGTGTGCGCACATGCGTGCTCACTCCACCATAGCTCATGTTCAGAGGTTAGAGGACATCTTGGGAGTTGGTTCTCTCTCTCCTCCTTGGACCCCTGGAATCAGACTTGGCTGTCAGCCATCTCCCCAGCCCTTATGTACCTTTTACTTTTCACCATCTGGGAACAAATGAAATTAGTTGAATGAAGGCATACTTATTCTTTGTAAGTATTTATAAATGAATGGCCATATCCTTTACTCCAAACGCAGTTAAGGAAACCTGTTGGTAAAGGTTTGTTAAGCTAAAAAGGAGCAAACTTAACCCACAGCTGTGGTTCTTCTGCATGTGATTGGGAATAACTTAAATCTGCTCTATATCCTAAAGAGCTAATCAGAAAATGATATAAACAGTGATGAAAACTTTACAACATATACCATAGACAGTGAGTTAACTTTTGATATTTTTCACTCCTGTTAGGGTTTTGGAAGAACTAGAAGTGGGGAAAAATGTCTTTAGAACAAATTGAAGAACGTGTCTTATATATAGAAATGTCCCCATCTTTTAACTGAAAATTTGCTTTTCTGGTAAATAATCTTAAGGAAATAGTCAACAATATGCACAAAGGTATTTTATAAGGCCACTCATTATTAAAATACTAAAAGCATGAAATGTATCATCTAAGTAAGTAATGGTTGATTGATATCTTAGTGCTGTGTTATTTAAATTGTTGAGATATAATATTAAAAGATGGTGGGGTTCTAAGTGTAACTAGCGAGTGCCAGTACAAAATGTGTTTTTGAGAAATAAATATCTGTCTGTATGTATATATACACAGAATTAGAAGGTTGAATTTTAGCAACAGTCATTTTTTGCACTATATAGTTAAAGAGTCATGTTCATAGTTTAAATATTTAAATAAGAAGAGAAATAGGATTTGGAATTTCTTTGCCCTTTGTCATGAAACACAGAAACTGTTTCTTCAGGCTGTACATTCTAGAAGGAGTTCAGTTCATTAAAGTTCATTAAATGTGGTATCTTTTGCACTTATAAAGGCGTTGAACTAGTTGCAGGCACTTAGTTTCTCATTTGTGCCCTGTGTATTGATACTCCAACTTTATATAACTAGATCATGTCATACAGTGTCTTAATGGACTAGATAATCAGCTTTTATTTTTCTCATTCAGGGAGAAACTTATTCGTCTTCAGCATGAGAATAAGATGTTAAAAATCAATCAAGAGGGTTCAGACAATGAGAAAATTGCCTTATTGCAGAGCCTTCTAGATGATGCAAACCTACGCAAGAATGAGCTGGAGACCGAGAACAGGTAGAGTCAGTCACAGCTTCTCGCTCTGTGCCTTGATTTTGGGATTTCTAAAGAAAGGCTTATGATTCATTTGAAAAATGATTATATGCTAGTATTTTTCTTGCTTTTGTTTTAATTATAATTAAACATTTCTTTTTCATCCCTCTAAATCCTCTACTTCCCACTCTCCTTCAAACTCATGGCCTCTTCTTTCACTACTTGTTACTGCATGTGTGTATATGTATGTTTGTGCATACATACTCCTAAATATAAGCTGCTCAGTATGTATAATGTTACCTGTGTGTTTGTTTTCAGGGCTGAGCATTTGTCACTGTACAGCAGCCAGTCGTGTGCTCTTCCCTGAAGGGCCACCTCCCACTCCCAGCTTTACTTAGTTGCTACAGTTTTTTGTGTAAGGTTGAGGCCCCATGGGCTTCCCCATCCACTTTGGCATGTCCATTGGTGTTGTCTTTATTCAGCTATATTTCTTTTTAAGTTTATTTAATCTGTTTGACATAGGGTCTCTGTAGCTGGTGAATTTTCTCTGTCCTGCCCAGTCCCCCACAGCCACTTACAAAAACAATTATCCAGAGGCTTAATGTTAATTATAATTGTTTGGCCGTTGGCTCAGGCTTCTTACTGACTAGCTCTACATATTAACCCATTTCTAATAATCAGTGTATTACCACATGCCCTGTAGCTTACAGATACTGTTTTGGCATCTTACTCTTCCAGGTGGCTGCTAGCATCTCCCTGACTCCATCTTTTTGCTTCCTGTATCTCTATTTGGATTTCCCACCTGACTCTACTCTTCCTGACTATTGGCCAAATCAATTTCTTTATTAACCAGTGGTAATAAAACATATTCACAGTATACAGAGAGATATCCCACATCAGGTCTCACTATATAGTCTTTTTTTGGGAATTTCATACACAAGTACTGTGTTTATGTCATTTCCTACCACTCTCCCTTTACCTACCATGCCCCTCCACTTAAATTCATGACCTCTTCTATAATTACTGTTGTTAATATATGTATGTAAATATACTGAGTTCATTTATTATTGCTCTTATATACAAACATTTAGGGCTGCCCACTTGAGATTGGATAACCTAGCTGAGGCAGGTGCACATTCCTGAAGAGAGCTGATTCTTCTCTCTCAGGAGCCATTGACTACCTGTAGCTCTTTCCCTAGGGGTGAGGCCTTGTGAGATTCCCTCATCTACTCATCCATGTGGCATATCATTTAGGGGCATTACTGTGCATGTCTTGTTTGGCAACCATACTGTTAAGAGTCCATGGATATAGTCCCTAAAGGTGCTGTTTCACAGAAGGCTTCCTGTCTGGCACTTCAGATCTCTCAGTCCCCTCCTTCGCAATTTTCCCTGGACCTAATTGAAGGAGTTGCACTGTAGATGTGAGAGCTGGGGTTGGGCACCCATGGGCACTTACTCTCTGGACTTTGATCAGCTGTGGATCATTGTGACCGTCTCCATCTGCTGCAAAAACAAAAAACAAAACCTGATAAGGTGTGAAAGCCACAGTTACCTGTGGGAATAAGTATTTAGAATATTATTAGGAATAATTAGTTTAGAAAAAGGATAGCAGGAGCGTCTCCTCTAGGACCCATGACCTCTCCAGCTACAGTAGTTGCCTGCTTTTTATTCTGTGATGTCTTACTCTTTATTTCTGCCCCCCATTCCCAAATAAATCACACACATGGAGGCTTATTGATAGTTATGGATACTCAGCCTTAACTTGGCTTGTTTCTTGCCAGCTTTTCTTAAATTATCCCGACTACCTTTTGCCTCTGGGCTTTTATCTTTTCTTTCTTCTGTCATCTTCCTCCCCTTGTTCTCTCGTTGCTTCTCTTTCTTTCTCCTCCCAGATTTCTCCTGTTTATACTCTGTCTGCCTGCCCCGCCAATTCTTGCTCCTGCCTCCCTATTGGCCATTCATCTCTTTGTTAGGACCATCAGGTGTTTTAGACAGGCACAGTAACACAGCTTCACAGAATTAAACAAATGCAATGTAAACAAAAGTCACACATTTGAAAATAATATCCCCCGGCAGCTTTACAGCATGAGTTCCCTCTTATTGACTAGACCTTAAATCCAGTTGCACAGCCCTTACCAGCAAGCAAAGGTGCCAGTATTGTATCCTTGGGAATATCTTGCCAGGCCAGCCAGGGCATTGTTCTGGTTTACAGGGTCACAGCTGTCCAGGACTACTGGTTGCTTTTCTTACTTAGTAGCTTGCATGGCACCTTCTGATACTGAGACCTAGTCTGCAGAGAGGCACCTTCCAGGTCAGTTCCAGCTTGAGTCCTCCAAGTTCTGTGTCTGAGGTGTGTGGTGTCTTTTAGCAATAGGAGCCTAGAAAAAGTAAAAGGTAGAGAAAAGAAAGTCATAGAGGATGAGGGAAGTATCTTGAGTTGTACCCATTGGTCTCTATATTTTAACCATTCTGATCCAGCCTACTGCTTCCTACTCGAGATTTTACTGCAGTAGAAAACGCACCCACAGTTCTTTCCCACTGTTTCCCCTGATTCTTGTTCTTTCCTCTCCAGAAGCAGAGAAGTAGTTTTCACACTGTACCTGTATTTTACAAATGACTTAGTTTTCGGTTTATGGTTATAATTATTGACACACATTAATTCATACATTTGTGAGTTTCACTATGGCATTTTCATACTTAGCTATACCGTGTTTATGTTTGTACCGTGACTGTTTTCAGATTTTCCACTACCCATCCCACCCCATCCCTGCCACACAGTGCCTGTCCCTTGTCCTTTCCTAGTCCTTAACAGAAGTCTCTAGTCTCTTTTCTGGTTTGGGTTTTTTTCCATCCTTGGTTTCCTAATATGAGAGAAAACATACTTTTCTTTCTGTGGATCCTTTTTTCTCTTAGCGTGATGTCTATCAGTTCCATCCTACAAATGACAAAAATCTCATTATTTTTCATGACTGAATGAAATATGTATTTATTCAACACTTTCTTTATCCATTTATCTATTGACGAGCACCTACGCTGTTAGCATTGCTTGACTCTGTGAATAGTGCTGTGGTAGACGTAAGTGTGCAAGTGCCTCGGCTGTATACTGACTGGCTCGTGTGTGTACACAGGAACAGCATAAAAGGATCAGGTCATTGTTTTAGTTTACCGATTTCCGTAGCTGTTTTGCTAGTTTACACTCATTGGTTTCTTTATACCTTTGCCAGCATTTGGGCTGGAAAGTTGACTGTTTAAGAGCACTGGCTGTTCTTCCAGAGGACCTGGGTTTGGTTTCAGAACCCACAGGGGGCGCACAATGGTCTCTAACTACAGCCTTAGTCCCAAGGGATCTCACATCCTCTTTGGGCCTCTGCAGGCACTGTATACATGTAGTGCACAGGCATACGTTCAGGCCAAACACCCATAAAAGTAAAATTAATAAATAGTTAACTTTTTCAAAAGCTTATTTGACAGGATTTGTTATTAGGGGATTTCTCTGTTTTTTTAATGATTTAGTTACTTGATTTTGGTTAAGTTTTTTGTTTCCTGAACTATTGGGCTCCTGTTGAGGAAATTATTGCCTATGCTAATGATCTTATGTTTTCCTGTAATAGGAAATTTAAATCTTAAGGTCTTTTTTTAATTGATTTTTTGCACAAGGTGAGAGATGTTAGTCACATTTCAGTCTTCCACATGCAGATATTTATTTTTCTGGAACTATTACTTTAAAAAGTGGTCTTTGTTCCTACGAATTTTGAACTTTTATGAAGAATTGGTTGACTGAACATGCATTTCTGGAACCTCTTATACATTGTTGACTAGGTCTGGTTTTACCTCAATACTATATTCCTGTTGTTAGGACTTCCTGATGGTTTTTAGATCAAATGAGTGACGCCACCAGCATTGGTCTTCTGATCTGTGGGGTGACGCCGTTGGAATTCTGAGGGCATTGAATCTGCAGTTGCTTTGGATGGCTGCCTGGAAGCTTTAGCGGCGTTAATTCCCCAGTCCATCAAGTGGAAGCTCTTTCCGTCCTCTGTTATTCCTCTTTGGTTTCTGTCACTCTAGGGTCTGCCACGCTTTTGGTTAGGTTTATTCCTAGAAGAGTTTTGGTTTGAGTTTGGTTTTTTTTGTTTGTTTGTTTGTTTTTGCTGTTATTGTTTTTTTTCATTTGTGGGGTTTTTTGGCAGTTGTTGGAGTTTCTTCTCTGGGTTCTTTCTGAGAAACTTCACTATTGGTGTATAGATTGACTACCATTGGCAGGGCTTGGTAGCTCCCTGCTTTAATCCCACTTCTCGGGAGCCAGAGACGGTGGATGTCTCAAGAGTCCAGGCCAGCTTGGTCTGCATGGTGAGTTCCAGGCCCACAGGGCTACATAGTGAAACCCTGTCTTAGAAAACAAAAGGAATGCTAACATTTTTTATATTGACTTTGTATCCTACTACCTAATTTTTTCTATCAGTTTTACAAGATTTTTGGTAGAATCTTTAGAACTTTCATTGTATAGTGTTTTATCATCTATAGAAAGAATTTATTTTCCTCCTTTGCTAGCAAAGTTATTCAGAACTCTGAAATATTATGTAACAAATAAGTATGTTATTCTGCCAGACAATATATTAAAACTGCCTTTTGTAACCCTTAACAACAGTAATATTAGCTCCATCTTAACACTGAGGAAGCTGAAGCCAAAGAATATTTAGCAGTTTTCAGTTAGCACATTTAAAATTAAAGCCCGGGTCTTTTAGCTCCAAAAGTCTACAGTAGCATCGTAGATTTTAAAAAAGCAGGAAAGAGGGGAGAGAAAGCGAAAGTGAGGTTGTGTTACTTTGCTTTGTTTTGTTTTTTGACACAGCTCACAGTGTATACCAGGCTGGCCTCAAGTTTACTGTGTGTATAACTTCTGACTTTCCTGCCTCCACCCCCAAGTGTTGGGAACCACAGGCATGTGCCACTATGCCTGTTATACCATACTGGGGATGGAGCCCAGGGCCGTATGCATCTAGGCAAGTGCTCTACCAACTGAGCTATATCTCCAGCCAAAAAGTGAAATTAGAAAAAAAAATTAATATGGAAAGTAATCTTTACTTATGAAACTGCGAGTGTCCTATTGCAGTTATGCAGTGCCACAACAACCTGAGTTCTGAGTTTGCCAGTGACGCTTTCAGTGAAACCATTATGACAGCCCAACGGGAATAAGTATGTGTAAAGAATTGATATGTGTTTGCTTTGCAGGCTGGTGAATCAGAGACTTCTAGAAGTACAGTCACAAGTAGAAGAACTGCAGAAATCTTTGCAGGATCAAGGCTCAAAAGCAGAAGATGTAAGTTTTGATATGTACCGACTATGCTTCAAAAGTTTCACAGCTAAGAAAACCTATAATTTTGATATTTTCTCAAAAAATGTATGGGTGTGAATCATGGAGGCATGTGCTTGTGTGCCTGTGTACTCCACAGCTCACCTGCGGAGTCCCAGGAACAGGTCATTAAACCTGTTGACAGTGGTCTTTGCCAGGCACATCTTCAGTTTTTTATTTGGCATCTAATAATTTGACATTATACTGGTTATATGGAAGAAATACTGTGTTCCTTTTCGCTGGCATTCCTTATTTAAAAGTCCTGTTTTAATTGGGTCTGCTAAGTTTACTTGTGTTTATCAGGCAAGATAAACATAGAAGCTCGACATCTTAAATGTGCTCAATTCATACTGAAATGAAAAGTTCCCCCTCAGGCCAAAAAAAAAAAATTGTAAAGATACGCCCAAGAAAAAATTTTTAATACAATATGATATTTAATCATCTCTGAGTTTCTGAATCCACTCTTTATATATCACATACATTCTTTTTATATTCTTTTAGCATTTTCAGCATATCTCTGTCTTAGCTCTCCTGTGCTGTTAGCACGTTCTCACTGGAGTATGGTACCTGTGCTGATAATGACTTACATCATCTCTGTCCACTAACCACCTCTCACAGTGCTAGGATGCCTTGTAGACATCTCTGACAACAGTAAACAAGTTGTAATTGGCAAATTCTTTATATTGAATAAAACACACACAATAAAACTAAAGCACAAAAAAGAACAGTGTAGAAAATAGGGAAATTAAATATTACTCACTCAGTCTTGTTTTTCTGTTGTCAGTGCAGTTTTCTATGATCTCAGACGTTGGATTTCATTCTTTCTGGGTTGCTTCATTAATGCAGCCAGCTGGAGAAATCTCCAGCCTTATTAACATAGAAACAACTGAAAAGGAAAGAGAAAGAGAGTTAAGTGAATTACTTTTAAAGTTTGGGAATATTAAATTTAAAAGCTCTTGAGGACTCAAACTTAGTTTTCTAAGTTTCTCTACACATATATCTTATTTAGGTTGCCAGTGTGCCCTGTATTTTTGGGAAGTTTGGGTTTTTTGTTGTTGTTGTGTTGTTGTTGTTTGATTGTTTGTTTGTTTTGGTTTTCCACACAAGATTTCTCTGAGCTTGGAGCCTGTAGACCAGGTGGCCTCGAACTCACGGAGATCCACCTGCCTCTGCCTCCTGAGTACTGGGATTAAAGGTGTGCACTACCACCACTTGGCAATTTAGTTTATTTCTTAATAAGTTGGTAATTGCTTTAGTTGCCTAGATCAGTTCACAACTGCTGTTATTTTTAACAATCATACACCTTATGAGAATGGGGCTAGATAAAAATGCCAAGTATTTCTTTTGTTCTTTATCCAAATTGAGTTCCAGAACTGTTTGACAGAGAAACCTTGTCTCAAAAAACAAATAAACAAACAAAGTGTGAGTCTGAGATTCAAACAGGTGTTCTACCACTAAGCCATTCCCCTGACCCAGTGTCATGATTTAAAAGCAATCCATCAGACAAACAAAACGTGTCTAAATGATAAATCTCCAAGAACTGGAGTTAGTGCACTGAAATAATAAAGCCTACTTAACAGTAGACAGCTGTAGGATGTAGTATTTCTTTCTTCATATAGTTTCTATATTCGTTTAAACAAAATAAATAAAAGTTCATTTGGGTCTTGGAAACTTTAAGTTTACTTTTGTGGATTTATTTTGGTAGAAAGGGGAAAAGAGGGTGGCACACAGCGTGTAAGCATGGTGAGTGGCCTAACTAAATGTCATAGTGTAATAAGGATCATGTGTGTGGTTCTTTTGCTTAAATTAAAACATTAAGGAGTTGTTTTTTAAAGTGTCTTGGGGTAGCCTAGTTAGTTATCACTGTGGTAAATCTACTTAGATATATTATGGGCAATTGCTGTAGGAGATTATATTTCAGAGGTAATATGCCTTCCCTATCAGATATTTGCATAAAGTGGTCACCTTTAACTACCTAAGTAGTAATGAGATGTCTAGCTCTAATCTAAGACAAATTTCCTTTCATGTTCTTCTCTGCCGACAAGACTCAGGTGGAAATTGTTCTTGAAGACTCCAGATTCCTTAGAGAAATGGTTTAGTTCAGGGCATGTAGTTCTTTTTACCCCATCAGATTTTTGATGTTTTTCTCTTTATTTTTCTCCTCGATGATCCATAGTGTTGTATCTCAGGAGTGTGATGCATAGAGCAACCTCTAGACCGGATTCATCCCCTCTGAAGAAGAATACATAGTTGCTGCCTTTTCTCTTATCAAAACAGTCTTTTCTTATAACCTTAAGTCAGAGCATGATGGTTTGCACATTTTTATTATTATTTTATGTCATTTGTTTTTAGCATGGAAGCAGAAATGCATTGTTATATCCAGTCATATGGATAATTTGAGCTAGCCACAGTATATAAAACTTCAGAGAACAAGACAGGCTGAGGAGACCAGAGAAGAAAGAAAAATGTACAATTCTGAAAAAAATGCATATCTTTTACTTCTGTTCATGAATTACTAAATCGTTCCTTCTCTTGGCTGCTGTGTTTGCTTCATACTAATATGTGCTCTCTGTCTCTTGGCATGGTTTCTGCTCAAGGCTATTGTAAGTATGGCTTCCTATTCATTTCCATATACTTAGCAGTTTTTAGATTATATACTTTTATCTGATATTATAGGTAGTGTAACTGAAATTTCAAAGTAGGACTCGTGAAAAATGAACATTCTAATACTTGCTTTCTAAGTATATGCTCCTTACAATTAAAATTCTAAAGTACATCCAAACCTTAGTGGAAAAGTCCTCTCCCTTTGTCCCACTTCTGCTCTGCCCCTTATAATTAGTTCATTGATAATAACTGGCTGTAATACAAGCTTCATTTCATAATCTAGTCTCCTTCAACCACACATTTTGATAGTTAGAGTCTTCAATTTGGAAAGGCAGTGCAACATAGAACACAAGGAAATGGAGGCTATTCAGAAGGTTTGGTTCTCTGCTGTACTGAACTTTAATTTTCAGTGTGTTACTTAAGATACTTAAATTGCTGGTCCTCAGCTTTCTCAGTTGTACAACAGAGTTAATATTACTATTGTGAGGTATCTGGCTTATTAGCTTGTATTTAATTGTTTTACTATATAATATGTAGAGAATTCAATTTGTTAAGATCTAATCAAAACAAAATTAAGAATTTTCAATACTTCCATTTCATCCTCTCAGCACAGAGAACAAACAATAATTATTTTTAAAAAGAGATTAGAAGGTTATTATCTTCTAATGAGATTTCTACTTTTATACACCTTACTTTTAATAAAATATCTTATTAGAGGTATCATGTATCTTATAAGAACACATAATTGCTGCCTTTTGTGTTACAAAAGCAGCCTTTTCTTATAACCTTAAGTCAGAGCATGATGGTTTGCACATTTTTATTATTATTTTATGTCATTTGTTTTTAGCATGGAAGCAGAAATGCATTGTTATATCCAGTCATATGGATAATTTGAGCTAGCCACAGTATATAAAACTTCAGAGAACAAGACAGGCTGAGGAGACCAGAGAAGAAAGAAAAATGTAATTCTGAAAAAAAAAGCATATCTTTTACTTCTGTCATAAAATAGAAATAATATCTTTTTTAGACAGTAAAGACATTAATAATATCTCTGATAAGATATCACAATAAAAGTAAGGATATTATCTTTATGTACGTTTGCAAAAAATAATGGTAGAGGATGTTGATCTAATTACCATTACCATAATGAGAAAGATGTGAATTTGAAATTTTCCAAACCTGTGTTAGAATTGATTGAATAAACTCAAGCCTGATGATGCACACCTAAAATCCCAGGCCTCCTGCTTTTAGGAGGAAGGTCATGATGAGTTCAAGACCAAACTGGGTTCCTCACGTGGTGAGTCCCAGGCCATTTCTAAATGGCAGGTAGACGTGAATTAATATATATGGTGATCATCACTAAACAGGGTAACTAAAAATTTAAGAGGTTTTCTCTTTCCTCATTGCTATTATTAAACAATCAAGCAATGTGTTTTATAAGCCTACATTAATTGGTTTTGAGTGTCATTTATCACATAATTCAAAACTCATTAATATTTACCTTTGTAAGTATTACACTGTGAGACTTGATGATCCTTTTTATTACTTATTTTATGTAAGTGTTAACTTCTTGCTTTTCAGGAAGTTAAAACTTTAAAAAAAAAGTTACCCAGTTAAAACTTCATCCTCAGTATCCTGACACCTTACCTTTATATTTCCCGTGCCGTGAGCTACATTACTTGTCCGCAGCTAAATACGCAGTGAACCTGAGACTGTTGTAATGCCAAGAAAGCGGCGTAAAAAGTGTGTTATGTTAGGGGACTACGTGGATACTGAGTCCAGGAATATCTGGGTCTCTATATAAATGGGGAATTTATATCTGTATGTTTCTTACTGTGGCTGCTCTCTTCTTGAAGAGGATTGTAAACTGAGGTACATTGGGTTTTGAGTTCTTTGACCAAAGAAATTACTGATGGCTTACTCCAAGTTATTTACTGTATATACTTCCATTTTTACAAAATAATTTGTTAGTTAATATGTTAAATAATGAGCTTTTTTTTTTTATTTTCCACTTCCAGTCAGTTCTTCTAAAAAAGAAGCTTGAAGAACATCTGTAAGTAGACAACTTGTTGAGGTTCTTCACATTACAGAACAAAAGCACTTTGTGTTGTGGGTACAGACTGTGTAGACAGTGGCATAAGATCCTTGAAGATACAGGGAAATACCACTTGTTAGTAGTTGTCTACAGGACCATTTCCACCCAAATCCTGCACATCAGTTCAGTGATTGTGAGCCGGGCATGGTGACTCTTACCTGCAATCTAGAAACCGAGGCAGGAGAATTACTCCTGGCTTCAGGCCATCTTGGGCAACAGTGTGAGACTCCTTATTAGAAAGAAAGGAGTATGAGATGCTGAATCAAAAACCACAGCCTTTATCTGTGACAGGCCAGATAGTAATTATTTGAGGCTGTATGAGTCCTGGCCTCTGTTACAGCCACGCAGCTCTAACGCAGCTGTCGACAATATTAAAACTGGTTAGAACTGTGCTGCAGCAGAACTTCACATACGGGAACAGGTACCCCTCTGACTGCCCCGATAGACTGCAGTTTGCCAGGCATTGATTCTTCTATAAGTAAACTTTTTTAAAAATATAATTTTACTAGTTCTTTGAGAATTTCATACAATGTTTTTTGATCATCTCCACGCCCATCTCCACACCCCCACACCTTCCCCTAACCCTTCTCCTACCCCACTCTACTTCATGTCTTTTTTGTTGGTTTTTGTTTTTTGTTTGTTTGCTGGTTGCAGATGTCCTGATAACATTTTACAATGTTTTTTTTTCTTTTTTCATTTTACATTCCAACCACAGTTTTCCTTCCCACCCCTCCTCCTGCCCCACCTCACCTCCTACCCCACCCCACATCCCCCATTCACTCTTCCCAATGGGTAAAGGCTCCCATGGAGAGTCAGCAAAGTCTGATGCACTAAATTAGAGCAGGACAAAGCCCCTCCCCCCTGCATTAATGCTGAGCATGACATCCTGCCATAGGGAATGGGCTCCAACAAACTAGCTCATACACTAGGGATAGATCCTGGTCCCACTGCCAGGGGCCCCTCAAATAGGCCAAGCTTCACAGCTGTCTCCCATGGGGGCTCCACAGCTGTCGGTCTAGAGTCCGATAGTTTTCACGAGCTTGGTTCAGCTGTCTCTATAGATTTCTCCATCATGATCTGACCTCCCTTGCTCATAGATTTCCTCCTCCCTCTCTTCAACTGAATTCCCGGAGCTTGGCCTGGTGCTGACTCTTACAATCTTTCCACCCCCATTTCTCCATGTTCCCGGAGCCTTTGGTATATGTATTATAGCTATATCAAGCTAACATTTTAAAGTAGAGTGTTTGTCAGTACCATATTTTCTAATAAGCTTTTGAATCACAGTCATCTTAAGTACAGTTTTTTAACTTAAAAGATGAAATAAAAACTTCAAATACTAACTTTGATTTCTCCTGAAGAAATCTTCATCTTTAGCTGAAGTTAACTGTGTTAGGGTTATTTGATAATTTTTCTCATTCCAAGTAACAACCTTAATTTATCATTTTTCAGCAAAACTGCTTGCAGGTATTAAGTGTGGGGCAGCTATGAATTAGTAGCTGCAGAAAGATATTCATGTTTCTGAAAGCTTGATATGTGTTATCCAGTTTTTTAATATGTTGGATGTGATAGATTCCTGGCCCTGAGATGTCTAGAAAATCTAATAATAGACAGGCTTGTAGTGTTCTAGAACAGTGCTACTCTCCGGCCTTTGTAAGGTTACTCAGAATGAGAACGCAGTACCATTCTTGTACTTTTGTGTTTTCCATTCCTCTCTAACTAAAACAGAATACTTCAGATTCTAATTCTACTCTTTAACCATGGTTATGTGTTCAGTTGTTTACATGCTAAAAATCTTCATCAGATAGGGTCTTTAGTGAAGATTGCCCCTGTTCTTGGCTGTTGTTAAAAAAAAAAAATAAGGGGCTAAGAGAAGAAAACAATTATTTTCTCAGAGAGTCAAAGAGTTTGAAGTTCAGTTGTCCACAGACTCGTCTCTTAGAGGATGAGCAGCAACGTATTCCACACATCTCCTAGTTCTGGTAGTCATTGACAGTCCTTGGTGTTCCTTTGGTAGCCTGTCTACAGGTGACACTCTTTCTGTACAATGCTTCCCTCATGTCCAAGGGATTTCTTCCAAGATGCTCAGTGAATTCCTGAAATCACTCAGAGTTATGAACTCTACATTTTCTGGTTTTTTTTTCTGTAGATAAATTCCTCTGATAATAGTTTAATAATAAAATAGAGAAATTATAACACTATCTTAAAGCAGTTATTCTGGTAACCAACTGGTTACTAAGTCACAAGTGGTAGATAACTTACACAGTCTAGATATGCAGATGAGGGGTCATTCACATGTCAGGCGGGACACAACAGGGCCACATGAAAGTTTATCACACAACTTGGTGCATTGTATGTCTCAAAACTTAGCTTCTTTTAGGGTTTTAATGTAATGGTTTGATTCCAGTTAAGATCAGCAACTGGACCCATGGGAAACAAAACCACCATAGGAGGAATGTGGGCCTCCCTTTGAGGACAGCAGTCGTGGGCCCAGCATGTACCCTGCTATCTGTGTCTACAAACATCCAGTTTCTAAATAGTGTCACCATCCTAGAACTAGAGATTACACCTCTCCTTTTGGAAAACACTTCAGCTCACACAGGACCTCATCTCAGCCACACACAGATTTAAAAACACAACAAATTGGGTTTAAAAATTAAATCAGTAATGACAATTATTACTAAAGTTTTTAAGCAATAATAATTCTCATTGACTGCTGATAGTATTTCTCAGTAACCTCTTCATATCAAAGAAAGTACATACTCTATAATATATTGGTTTTACTGTGTATACCTGAAATTTCCACAGATAATAATGTCCATGTATAATCGGGAACCTTTAGAAGACCTTTATTTAATGATTAATGTAGTAAGTAAAATGCTAGACATAAATAATGTATTGCTTAGGAATAAGACAGAAGCAGCAACCATCATATAAATCAGAACACTTAAAAATTTGGACATTGATCACCCCTAGGAAGGTGTGTGATTTCTAAGGTTTGGGGATGATTTTTGGTTTATTCATATATAGAGAGATGTAGATATTTTAGATATATATCACATATATGATATATATATACACATATGATAGTTAGACCTTCAAAAATAATTTACTTTACTGAAAAAGAAAAGGATCCAGGAGTAGTAGCCTTTATTCCCAGCACTTGGGAGGCAGAGGTAGGTGAGTCTCTGGGTTCAAGGCCAGTTTAGTCTACAGAGTGAGTTTCAGTTCAGTCAGAGTTACACAGTAAGACCCTGTGTCCAAAAAGGCAAGGAGGAATTTATTGCAGTATCTGTGCTTTGAAAAAAATCAAAAGTAGGCATAACAAAATGCTATTAATATTGGTTATTGTTTTAGCCATCAGTCTTACATAATGCCACACTGAATAATTTAATGGAAGAATTATACATCACATTATTATAACACTTTCATAAGAGACAAAGCTTTCTATTCTTTTTTATATTGGATATAACTTTTATATAGTAATATACATATCCTAAGTTTCTAAACATAGGTTGTGAATATTTGCCTCCATATAGATAACCTGAGTCAACATTTAATAGAATTCATCTTTCTTCTTCCCAGTTGATTGAGTACATCTCTGTAATCTTCATCTTTTGTTAGTTTCGATACTGTATTGATAAACAACTTTAGTCTATTTACCTTTGTTTCATAGTACTTGTGTGCAATGCAAGTGTATTTGAAAATAATGAATTTTTAGTTCAGAATGAAAAAAGAATACAGAAACAAGGGTTGAGTTTGTACTTAGCAGTGGAGAATTTGCATAGCATGTGTGAGGCACTAAATTGGATCTCCAGCACAGGAAAGAAAATCAGAAGTGATGATATGATCATATATTTTGTTGCAGAGAGAAGCTGCATGAAGCCAACAATGAATTACAGAAAAAGAGAGCCATAATTGAAGATCTTGAGCCAAGATTTAACAACAGCTGTGAGTTTTTCCTAATAGCATCACTAACCATGCAGCATTCTATAGATAATAAATTTATGTAACTTGTTTCTTTTTTAAATAGGCCTTTTAGATATTCTAGCAATTAAGAATTTCCCCTATGTGGCTGGAGAAGATGATGTGGTTAAGAGCACTTGCTCTTTCAGAAGATAAAAGTTTGATTCCCAGAACCTACATTCTGACTCACAACCCCTGTAACTCAACCTCCAAGGGCACCAGCACCCTCTTCTGTCCTCCATGGGCACCTACACACATTTGACATATACTTACACAGGCATATACACATAACTTAAAAATATATTAAAATAAAAATAAGTGTTGGTTTGTTTGTTTTTTTTTAAAAGCATTTGTCAGGTGTTAGAGAGATGTCTTGCTGCACTTGCAGGGGACGAAAGCTTGGTTCCCAACACCCACGTCAGTTCGCTCACAGTTGTCTATAATTCTAGCTTTAGGAGATCTTCATGCCTCAGGCCCTGTGGGACCGGCACTCAAGTGCACATATACAGAGACAAACAGATACATGCACACACAAATTTAAAAAATAATTTTTTAAAAAAATTCACCATATTTCTTAAGGTACTGGTTTTATTTATGAAATCTTTAACTGTGTATGAAGCTAGACACTTTCAATGTAATTGTGCATAAGTTAGCCCTTGACATATCATTCTATGTCTATTTGTATATATAGTTAGCTTAACTTCGTTTTTTTTGAAAAAAAGATGGCAGACTTTAATTTTAAGTCATAGAAAAATACAGCAGCGGGTAATCATTTTAAGAATACAGTATAGTGGAATTAAATACATTATGCAACCTCACCACCTCTCCCCTGTAACATCTTTCATTCCTCTCGACTGGAATGATTCTTCCCTCTGCTTATCTATTTACCCTCTGTCTCTGAGTTTAACTGTGCTAGGAAGCTTATACAAATAGACTCATGTTTGTACTTTCCTGTCTAATTTATTTCAATAAGCATAGCTTTTTTTCTCAATTAACATTAAGGATCAATACTGCGGTATATATCAGAATTTAGACTTTAAAAGATTATATTATGTGAGTATATGTTATTTACCCATCAATAGATGCTTTTTACTTTATGTAGTTTAATACCAACATCTTTTTTACTTACTAAGAAAAACTTTTGGTAAAATAAAAATATGAATTACTTTTAAAGAGAAAATTATATATAAGGATAGATCAAACAATCGCTCAGGACTACTACTTATTATTTCTGTTTTTAAATTTTTGTATTGATTTTATTGAGCTATACATTTTTCTCTGCTCCCCTCCCTTCCTCTCCTCTTCAACCCTCTCCCATGGTCCCCATGCTCCCAATTTACTCAGGAGATCTTGTCTTTTTCTATGTCCCATGTAGATTAAATCCATGTTTGTCTCTCTTAGGGTCCTTATTGTTGTCTAGGTTCTCTGGGGTTGTGATTTGTAGGCTGGTTTTCTTTGCTTTGTGTTTAAAAACCACTTGTGAGTGAATACATATGATATTTGTCTTTCTGGGTCTGGGTTACTTCACTCAATATGATGTTTTCTAGCTCTATCCATTTTCCTGCAAAATTCAAGATGTCATTATTTTTTTCTGCTGTCTAGTACTCCATTGTGTAAATGGACCACATTTTCCTTATCCATTCTTTGGTCGAGGGACATTTAGGTTGTTTCCAGGTTCTGGCTATGACAAACAAAGCTGCTATGAACATAGTTGAGCACATGTCTTTGTGGCACGATTGAGCATCCTTTGGATATATACCCAAAAGTGGTATTACTGGGTCTTGAGGAAGGTTATTTCCTACTTTTCTGAGAAATCGCCACACTGACATCAAAAGGGGCTGTATCAGCTTGCATTCCCACCAGCAATGCAGAAGTGTTCCTTTTCTCCACAACCTCACCAGCATAAGTTGTCACCAGTGTTTTTGATCTTGGCCATTCTTACAGGTGTAAGATGGAATCTCAGAGTTGTTTTGATTTGCATTTCTCTGATGGCTAAGGATGTTGAGCATTTCCTTAAGTGTCTTTCATCCATTTTAGATTCCTGTGTTGAGAGTTCTCTGTTTAGGTCTGTACTTTTTTATTGAATTATTTGTTCTTTTGATGACCAATTTTTTGAGTTCTTTATATATTTTGGAGATCAGACCTCTGTCTGATGTGGGGTTGGTGAAGATCTTTTCCCATTCTGTAGGCTGCCATTTTGTTAATAAATAATTAAATATAATGTTATTAAAATCTAATTTTTTATGGATATCTTTTTGCAGCCTTAAGAATTGAAGAATTGCAAGAAGCTTTACGAAAGAAAGAAGAAGAAATGAAGCAAATGGAAGAGCGCTATAAAAAGTACTTGGAGAAAGCCAAAAGTGTGAGTATGAACTTGTAACTGTCTCACTGTACATTCCAGAGAGGGTTTTCTCTAGCCTGGAAGTCTAGTGTCCAATTAAAATCATGTTCTTACACAAAGAATAACCAAAGAAATTTTCTAAGCAGAAAAAGATCTCAAGTAAGTAATGATCAAAATAGATCATTCCACACATTGAATAGTAAGAGGACGGTGCACCTATGTAAGAAATAGGTGACAGCCATAACTGTAGCCAGTACTTAGAGTTAACAACACATGAAAGAAGAAGAACAAAGCTGAATGAGATATCTCTGTGAGCAGACAGAAACAGATCCGGACAAGGTACAAGAGTCGGTTCTCTCCTTCTCAGGGTGGTACTCATCAGGCCTGGCAACAAGCATTTAGCATCTCCCTCAGCCAAGAGCAAATGCTGATTGATGACGTAAATGTGTGAAAATGCCATGATAAAAAGACCCCACCAAGTTATAGGTTGACTTTAAGTAAGGTTAGAGAGACAACTCAGCGATTGAGAGCATTTGCTACTCGTGCAGCAGCCCCAGGTTCAGTTCCCAGCACCCACAAAGCAGATTACAGCTGTCAGTTACTCCAGTTCCAGGGGCTCCGATAGCAGTTCTGATACACATGCATACATGCTGGAGAAACCCTCAAACTCATATAAATGAATAAATCTTTAGTTTTACAAAATATTTAAGGGACTAGAGAGATGGCTGAGTGGTTCAGAGAACCTGATATTGCAGGGAGCCCAGGTTTAGTGTCCAGCGTCCCTATGGTGACTCACAATTGTCTGTGACTCCAGATTCCAGACTCCTCCTCCTCATCTTCGTAGTCACATGGTACACAGCCATGTATGCCTGCTGGGAATCAAAATAAAGAAATTTGTTTTTGTTTTTAAAGACAGGGTTTCTCTATGTTACAGCTCTAGCTGTCCTGGAACTCACTGTGGAGACCAGGTTAGCCTCAGCCTCACAGAGATCCACCTGCATCAGCTTCCCAAGTGCTGGGATCAAAGGCATACACTACCACACCTGGTTAAAATAAATCATTTTTACAAAAAAAAAACTTTAATAAAAAAGGTATTAACAATGTATAGCACTACAGCCAAGATTTGGTGCTTCCTGATGGAATATTGCTGTCATCAGTGATTAACCTGAATCAAAGTATCTTCTAGATCTTTCTTCACACCATGAAGCTGTCTGAACAAGTTAACTAACACCTTTAGGTGGGGCTGGAGAGATGGCTCAGCAGCAACTGTCTATAACTACAGTCCCATTTGATCCATAGTCCCATTGTATCTGATTTCCTTTTCTGATGTGTCTATATCCATGTAAACAAAACACCTATATACATAAAATAAATCTTTTTAAAAGTATATAAGTAACACCTTTAGGAAACTGTCAGATAATCCAAAATTGGGGTTAAAAGTCAGTATTGTGAGAGCTAAGCAGATGGCTCAGTAGATCAGGTGCTCGGTGCACAAGCATGGAGATGGAGATGTCATTTCAGATCCCAGGAGTTACATAAAGCTGGGCCTGGGTGCACACATCTATAGCACCCTCTATAGCTCTGAGGGGTGAGACACAGGACCATCTCAGACTTAGGCAGTCAGTCTAGCCAACATGGTAAACTCCAGATTCAGTAAGAGACACTCTCTCAAAAACTAAGGTGGAGCGTGATCAAAGGCCCCCAATAGTGACCCCTGACTGCCACATCTCATCCTGTGCTGAGGTCCTGGAACCCTGTTTAGGGTTGACAAGAGAATCACAGGCACACACACAGCAAAGTTGAGATCAGGTGGGAATTTCTAACTGCTGCAACCCAGAACCTCATCGTTTTTATTACAGCCCAGGAGGAGGGTTAGCTAGTCTTGGAAGGAGATCTCTATAGTTGTGCAGTCTCAGGCTGTATGTATCTGGAAGGAGGAAGCCATAGTTGCTAGACTTCGCACACACTGATCAATCATTTATACACACTCATGCTTGGATATCCCCTGGAAAAACTCTTCTATTCCTCTTTCACATAGTCCATGTGGGCACTAGCTTTGGGCCAATTGGTCTCTGAGTTCTTAGGTCAGTATTATACTTTTTTTAAAAAAATGGGAGTAGAATAAAGAAGAATGTAGGAAGCTATACTGCATTAAAAGGAGTCCTGCTTGCCAGGTGGAATGCATAAGTCTTTGAGTCCTGAATTGAGGACAGAGAATCAGTTTTAAGAGACACTTTGGCCAAGTAATTTCAGCTACTTCTTAAGACCAAAGCAGGTGGGTTGAAAGTTCAAAACCATCCTGAACAATTTACTGAGACCCTCTGTCTCAGAAGAAAAGGTACAATAAGATCTAGGGATATATGCCTCACCGATAAAGTGTTTTCCTAGCATGCACAAGGCTAAGACCCCAATCCTTCCTACTTGTAAAGGTGGGAGATGTAGACATAGACTAAATTCTGGCCATTTTACAGAATTATTATTTTCTTATAGATGGTGGTAGCATTATGAAGTAAAAAAAAAAGTCTAGGGATAGGCACACTGAAGTACTTAAGGGTTGTATTCACTGGGACTGTTGAGTTTTTTCTAACACCTAAGAGTGTTGGGGGAGATCAGATATGACAGAGTAGCAATTTTTCAATCCAGGTTAAAAGTAATAAATGGGTTTGAACTATTTGGAAGTCTATGTATTTGAACATTTTGGTAGTAAAACTATTGGTGGAGAACAAAACTACATCTTCCCCAGAAATCCTGTAATAAATCAGGTAGAATTACATCCAATGTTCGTGCCTCCACCATACTACTGACAGAAGAGAAGGGCCTGCTTAGGATTCACTCTTGTGTGCCTTTCTGTTTACACGTCCAGGACTAGCCAAAATAAAACAGAAAAGAGCTATGAATAGCATCTCTCTAGCAGTGCTCAATAATTCAGAATTGATTCTTCCATCTGCATCATTGAGAAGTTAGGCAATTTTATTTCACACACTTACCTTTTGTAAGTGTCCTTAATAGCCTTTGAGTGTTATTTTCCTTTTCTGGTTTGTTTGATTGGGGTAGGGGTAGGAATCAAACACAGAACTTCATGCATGCTAAGATAGCAATAGCTATAGCTCTATGTGCAGTTCAGCCATTAGATTCCCTGACCCCTACCCGCAGTACTGGGGTACTACTTAGGGACCCATGTGTGTTAGGTATGTACTGTATCACTGGGTTGTATCCTTAGCCTGATTTTCATTTTTAAGACTGCTTTCTTAGATGCTACATTCTGTAAGTTTGAGGGGTTGAAATTTGAGTTTTGGGGGGTTGGTTGTTTAGGTTATATATGTGAACTTATATGTGTACTTACGTTTTTCTTTTCTATTTGCAGGTTATTCGTACATTAGACCCTAAACAGAATCAAGGAGCAGCGCCAGAAATACAAGCTCTTAAAAACCAACTTCAGGAACGGGATCGACTGTTCCACTCATTAGAGGTCAGTTAGTGCACTGTGCAATAAAATACTGAGGTTTTTAGCTTTCTCAGAGACCCTTGCTATATTATATATTGTAACCTTGGGTTGGGCAGTTAATTGTAAGTATCTTCCTTATGTTGAATTCATTTGTATCTTTACATGTGGTTGTGCTTCAGAAAGAATATGAGAAGACGAAGAGTCAAAGAGACATGGAGGAGAAATACATTGTTAGTGCCTGGTACAATATGGTAAGAGAAGAGTATTCCAGAATATCCAGAATGTAATGCAAAGTTGTATGTCATTATATTGCCTTTACTGTAGAAGTAATTCTACCAAAAGAATCTGATAGTAATTTCTCTCCTAACATGTACTAACAAAGCCTCTATGTTGACCTTTAAACTGAAAAGCACCACAACCAAGGCTAAGGCGTTGTGAAACAATCATCCCCAGAGAATAGAAAAGACCAGTTTAGTTTTATTCCTTGGTGCCATTGTTGTGGGGAAAGCAGACATGGTCATGCCTGAACAGATGCAGTAACTCTGGCTTCGTTGGTTGTTTCAGTACATTTGCAAGATGAGATTTTCTTTACGGGTGGCATAACTGTCTCATGGGATATGGACATATTCAGTTTCAGACTTCGACCACTGAAGGTTATGAAATGGAGTGTTCTAGTACATGTGCAAAGAAACTAAATATATGTAAGGGAAGGAGCTAACTGCTCACTGGCTCATGCCCAGTTGTAAATTTTACAGGATGAGGCACCTTCTAGGACCTTTGTCTTCCTTTTCTTTGTGTTCTTTCCAATGAAACCATTTCTACTGCTTTGAAGTGTTGGGGTTTTTAAATTATTTATTGTGCATGTGTGTGCATAAGGGGAGCTGGTGCTGTGGAATACCTATGGCAGCTGTGGATTCCAAGGGTCGGACACAAGTCGCTAGGCTTGCGTTACTCACAGAGCCGTCTACAGCCAAATGCTAGTGTTTTGAAACAGGAAGTTGGGCTGTCCTTGCAGTTTTTCCCTTTTGTCCTATTGCTCTCCTGTTGGCATAAATATTGTTTTTGTTTTAGTATTACTACTGTTGGTACTTGCTCTTAAGGGTTAGCTCTCCGACCTTAAAATGTGATTTGAGCTTTACTAAAAATTTGCTTCATGACATGTGTCTACAGTACACCAGTGTGTTTAAGATCTTACTGTAATTTTTCTTTTAAAAGGGAAATAATTTTGAGTGAGAACATTATTTTGGGGGGTTTTTTGTTGTTGTTTTTGTTTGGTTTGTTTGATTTTGGTTTTTCAAGACAGGATTTCTCGGTAACTTTGGAGCCTGTCCGGAAACTAGTTCTTGTAGACCAGGCTGACCTCAAACTCACAGAGATTTGTCTGCCTCTGTCTCCTGATTGCTGGGATTAGAGACGTGCACCACCATTGCTCAGCTCAAGAATGTTATTAACAAATAAAATTTTCTTGAAAATTAAATTTAAAAATAGAGAAAATAAATTTTATTAAGAAATTTTCTGTGGACATTAGCCCTAACCCCACTGTTCTGTCTTCCTGGAAGCTGTGTTCCCAGTCTCACAGACCTGCACCTCAGTCCCTGCTAGCAGTTTCACATATTGCTTCTTATGGAACCGGATTTATTTATTCTGTGACAGGGGACTAAAGGATGGTGCTAATTTTTAACTTTTCAGAATGAAGGGGTAATTTCAAATAGACACATGCAGGTCACTCACAAAAAATAATCGATAGAAGCATCATGCTTGTACTCTGAACGTTTTGCATCTCAGACAACTTAAATAGGAGCCAAAACGGTGACTACTGGGACAAGGTATAAGTTTCTCAACAAATAGCTTTGTGTTGGCCTCTGACATCTTAAAAGGGTGTAAAAAGTGTAGCACAGTGGTAGCTCTAGAACACAGAGCACAACCAACCGCCTGGAAATTCGAGTTTTAAGTCAATGTAGTAAAACATTTCAGTAGATATTTGCTAGTTTTATTCAAACCTTCAGATATATTTGTTAAGTTAAAGCCGAGCTAAAAACTACATTCTGGGGGTTGGCAGGATGACTTAGCAGGTAATTGTGCTTGCTGCTCAAACCTGGCACCCTGAATTCAATAACTAGAACCTATTTAAAATGGCAGAGCGCCAACTCCATGAAGTTGTCCTCTGACTTCCACATAAACTGTGATACAGGCATCCCATCTGTATACATCATGTATACACACGCGTAATAACTGTACACACACACTACCACCCCACCCCCTAGGGACATACCCTAAGGCATAGTGATTTAAGACAGTAATCCCAGTTCAAGGTCTGCTGGGTTGACCTAGTCCTAGGCTACCGGGGCTACAGCATAAGACTCTGCCTTAAAATACTAACAGAGGCAGAAGCAGGCAGATCTCTGTGAGTTCAAGGCCAGTCTACAAAGAGAGTTCCGGGACAGCCAGGACTGTTACACAGAGAAACCTGTGTAAAACAAACACACAGAAAAGAAATGTGTTCTAAGACTTCCCATTGAGGAAAATGGGCTGTGTTCTTAGGTGCATATGAATGGATGAAGTTATATTCAGAATGCAAAGCTATGGTCAGTGTTTTCCTAGAAGCTTATTAGTAATAGGAAGCTTGACTTTCCCGTCTGCTGTCTTCTGTGCTGTGTTTCTCTTTGTCATCCTCCACTTCTCCGCCTCAGTTTACCTGTTCGTGTTAGGGTGTGATTAACCAGCAGCCTCAGTGCCTCCTGCCAGCCCAGGTCATTGTCTTATTCAAAGAACACTAAGATTGGCCCATGCCCAGTCTAATTTTAGCAAGGTGGTTCTATTACTGTCTCACTGTTTCTCCACATTCTGGAAGTACCCCGCAGGCTTCCTTCCTCCTGTCTAGGGGTAGCCTGGTAACTTTTGCCATTCTTCAAAGGTAGTAAGTGGTTTTTTTGCTTTCAAGGGGAGATTCCCCCTTCTTGGTTGTGTGTTCTGTTATGGGTTGTCAGAAACTTTTCTTAGTTTCTTTGAGAATACAAGTCATCCTTGAAGTGAAGAAAAACAGCGTTGTGGTATGTATAGTACCTAGTACGACTTTTCCATCGTAAAAACCAAGTGCATCTGTGTTTTTCTTCCTGATTAGTTCTGTGATTTCCACAATTTGTGTGAATCGGCTGCTACCAATCATTTGCACTTTTCTTGGAATATCAGTTTGATTTGAAAGGAAAATATAAGTGACATCTTCTAAAAATCGTCCTCCACTATCTCGTTTTGATTGTTGTAAATTCATAAAATTAAACCTTAATTTTTCCAAAGGAAGATTTGTACTTAATTATTGGAATAAAAATGATTTCATAAAATTTTAGGTCATGAATGAGTAGAATAAATATTCCTAATTAATTGTACTTTGCTATCGATATAGTAAATTATGCATGATGACATTTATTATTTAAGCATATCCCATGTTTTCACTGACTACTTTTGTTTCTGTTTTAATGTTACAGGGAATGACTCTGCATAAAAAGGCGGCTGAAGATAGACTAGCTAGCACAGGTTCAGGGCAGTCATTTCTAGCAAGGCAAAGACAAGCAACCAACACAAGAAGATCCTATCCAGGCCATGTCCAGCCAGCCACAGCAAGGTAGAGAGGTCTCGCCATTAGGGATTTTTAAAAGGCATACTTCTGTTACATATAACAACATTTCAGGAAATCCAGCCGACTTCGTTTATTCTTTCCTGTGTTGATATTTAGTGTTTCTCACTTGAGGATCTCTCTTGCATCTTTTAGTTTCTTTGTCCTTTATGGTCTTTTCAGTTTCTTTTAATGTGCCAAAAATTTGTAAATGTACAATTAAAAACGTTGTATAATAGTGTAATACTTTTCTTTGTATGAAAATGTCTTCTTCCCCATTTGTGTGGGCTTTGTAAAGAATCAGATTTTCTGCCAATAATTGATACACAATTTATATTCTTTATCGTGCCTACTGTGTTACCATACTTTATAAGAATGTCTTTGTTTAAAGGGAATTAATCTTTTTATGGTGTATTAATCTGTGTTTTCAATTGTTTTCCAAATGCACTTCAGATAACTTCAATATTTACTGTACTATCTAGAGTGGTGTCGAGTGCACTTGTGCAAAGGCAGATACATTGGCAGATCGTATGGCACCTGGCAGGGTCGCTTGGAGGGAAGAAAGAATTTTTCATGTTATTTTACTAGAAATTAAACTTATTCTGAGATTTGGAGTTCATTTTCAGAACATAATTATGTGAAATGTCACTATTTCCTGCTGTCATGTTTGCTGGCAGAAGTGGAATTGGTGAAGATGTTTGGGTAGACATTACAGAGGATAAAAAAAATTGGCAGGCTTTTTTTTCTTCCTTTGAAATATCTTAGTAGTTAAGAATCAGATTCTAGCCACACACTTTTAATTGCTCTCCACATGTAAAAGATTTATTTTTCATATAGGTAGCCTTACCTTTGGGGCAGTTCTTTGACTTATGCCTTATACGTTTTATATATTCTGTAAGCCTTCCCTTTTCTCAGTTAATCTTGATAGCTAACATCTTAATACCATTCATTAAGATCAGTACATGCCTTTTGTGTGTAATATTATGATAGATCTCTTTACAGTGTTTCCTAACTCTACCTATGAGTCCAAGAGTTGGTAACTGGAGAGATTTTTTGGGTATTTGGTTGTTGAAATTGCTTACATTGTATGCCACATTTATTTACATAGATGAATGCCTGCTAAGCAGTCACTGTGAAGCACTTTGTCTATATAAGGTATCATATCATTTTAAACTGTCATTTATTTGAAAATGATATACCTTTTGTCTTTCTCCATATTGATTTATGTATTTGATTCCAGGTAATATTTAAGGTTTCTTCCAGCCTTTTTCTTGTTCCAAACCACATTTTTTCAAAAGAAAAAAGAAATCTGGAATTTGGTCAAAGGGTTATTTTGTTTGTTTTTAGGTAAGTCATCTAGTGGAAGATGTTATTTTATGTACTTGCTGTTCGAAGTGCTGGTGTTACTTAGTTATGTATAAAAGACAAATAACTTTAATTCCAGTTTAATGCGATTAAGACTTTTCAGAAACTATATGCAAGTGCTTCATTTTAACTCCCTCTTCTTTTATAAGAAAATTGACCTAGAAATTGTCCTGCATGTCATGCTTTGTTTTTGTCAGACAGAGTCTTTGTGTAACCCAGGCTGTCGTGAACACATGATCCTCTGGATTATAGATGTGAACCCCCATACTCCTGAGAACCATTCTAGAGGAAAGGTATTAGAACATAGAGAAATGGCACTATGCACCGTGAGCATTTCTTTGAAAGATATTCACTGCAGTGTCTGAGCACAGTAGGAGGCATCTGCCTAGGCAGACCATAAAGCAGCGAGACTTGGAAATGTGGAGAGAGCTGTGTGAGGACAGTCACTGTGGGGTGCAGGGCAAACAGACCTCATCTTTTAGGTCTGGTTTTGTTTATTTCAAGACAATCTAGCTGTATTATCCAGACTTGCCTCATCCTTTGACTGAAAGCCATCCTCCTGCCTGTGCCTTCCAAGAGGCTGAAATTAAGGTATATGCTGTCATGCCTACATGATATGTCAAGTTTGAAAAATAAAAGATTAAAATCGGGGCCAGCAAAATGGCTCAGCTAGAAAAATACTTGCCGCCAAGCCTGACGACCTCAGCTCGTGAGATTCCTGGGGTCCAGGTGATGAGGGAACAAGCTGCTCCCAAGGATTGTCCTCTGACCTCCAGACTCACACAGTTTTAGGTACATACACATAAATATGTTTTAAAAGATTAAAACTAGTTTAAAATACTCTTACTTCATCTTTAGTTCACAGAATATCTAAAACTCAAGCATTTTTAAAGGAACAAATTAGTCTATGATTCCCTACTTTTACTTAATAAAATACTGCTTTTTGAGAAGTTATGCTTGTAGAACAAAGAGGATGTGAAAGCAGGAGACTCTGGAAGCTGCTTTTCAGCTAGATTTACCTGTGAGGTAAAAACATCTCAACATTTGATTTTCTGTTTACCTGCTCTCTCTGTGTGCCCACCCACCTACCCAGATATTTTCTCTAGATGTTTTGGAAATGCCTCAAGCTTTCAGAAGGAAATTTAGCTTCTGATTTTTGTCAGCATCTGCTGTGTGCTAATTTCAGTGTTTATAACCTTCACTTTGTTTGTTGTCTGTATCTTTGTTTGGTGGATTTCACTCAGTAAATGGAAGAAATATCGTGTGATATTTCAGAATAAAATAAAGTATACTTTCATAAGAAACAGCATCCGAACATATACTTTAGGCATCATAAAGCCAAGAATAAACCTAAGTAAAGCAGTGGCAGCTTTGCCATTGTGTGGTGTAGGTCAGAACTTAGGGGATTACAGTTTCTCCGTCAGTGATCAGGAATGTTGCAGGTGCTCTGATGGTGATGTGCAGTCTCCCTAGAAGTGAAGAGGTCAGTGATGCTGGGCTGTGTCTCCACAGGCTTCTTTCGTGGTACTTCCCTGAAGCCTCCTAGCTTGTTCCCTGAGGCCTCCTAGCTTGTCCTGGCAATACGAGAGAATGAGGACAGTGGTTCAGTGTCCTTGTATCAGGTTGAGGGAAGCTGTCGCCAGCATCCGAGTTCTTGTAACAAGCTTATTTTCTGTGCCATCTATCCAGGGTTTAAAAAAAAAAAAACCAAAACAAAACTACTAAAAAAATGACCATGTATGTCCCACATTATACATTTAAGATTAGAACAGGAAAACAGACCAGTAAATATAATTTAGTTTCTTCCATCAGAAATGAAAATAACAAATATAGTTGCACATATTTTTATTTAATTTTAAAAACTGGAGCTGGAAAGTTGGCTCAGCATTTAAGGGCATTTATGGTTCTTCCCAAGATCACAGGTTCAGTTCCCAGAACTGAAATGGAAGGTCATAATAACCAACCTTCTGTAACTGCAGTTCCAAGGACTCTTATCCCCTCTTCTGACCTCCACAGTCACCAGGCACATGCATGTGTACATGCATGCAGGCAGGCAAACACTCAAACACATAAAACAAATCTATAAAAAGAAAATTTAAACTAGGTCATAGTTTTCTTTTGTCTGATTACCTAACAACAAAAATAAATTCTTAAATAATTGATTCATATTCAAACTTAATCCAGATTGAACTATTTCTGTCATCTTGGTAAAATTAGCTTAATGTGATGATTAAGTTATATGGATGATATTGTCCAATTTTTTTGAAGTTGTTTGGTTAATGTAATTTGATCCCAGTTACAAAATCAAGGTAAATGGTTCTATTATTTTGTTTTTCGAGACAGGGTTTCTCTATGTAGCCTGGGCTGTCCTAGAATTTACTCTGTAGACCAGGCTGGCCTCGAACTCAAGAGATCCACATACTGCCTCCTGAGTGCTAAGATTAAAGGTGTGTGCCACCACTGCATGACAAGCCAAGCTAAATGTTATCTGTCAGAACTGCCGGTCTAATTTCATTAATTGTTACTGATCCAGATAGAGATTAATTCTAAAATAAGTTAGGTCTTAGTGGAAAGAAAGATGCAGTCAATGAGCAGTCTTATTCATCTTTTCAATAGCAGTTCTCCTAGTCTTGTTAGTAAAAGGGAAAGGCTTTTGAGGGCTAGGATGTGCTTAGTTGGTGTAGTACTGGGTTTAGTCCCTAGCATCTTAGAAGATGGTTGTACACCTGTAGAGAGTTTGAGGCCAGTTTGAGTCACATGAGAGTCTACCTTCAAAAGGAAAAAAATGTATATAGTTTCGTAAAATCTATTGCTCCCATATAAGCATTGATCTATTGTACTAACAATAACCATATTTTAAGCTTTGAAATAATTCATTATGAGTTATCATTAGTCAAAAACATAAAACTTAAAATATCTTCTTTACTCTCCAAATTTAATTTTCATTTGTTCAGATCTCTTAGTACACAAATGTTGTAGTTATGTCCAGTTGGGAAATGTTGTGCCTGAACATCCACAGTCCCTATCTCAAAGAAATCTAGCTAATTTCCATTCGCTCGAGTTAAGAACATAATTCGGCCCCACAGTGAGAGGGACATATGTAGTATGTTTTCTACTAAGGTGGAATCACATGAGTACCACATGTCTTCAGTTTTCTGTTCATTAAACCATGGAAGAATAATTGAACCTTGGTTTTTTTTAGATTAATATTTGTAGTTGGGGGAGGGTGACTTGGGAAGGATGTGTGCAAGAGCCCGTGGAGGCCGAGCTAGAGGTGGGTGTCAGCTGCCCTGTGTGTAACTTGGGTTCTCTGCTAGAGTAGCCAGCTTTCCTCTCCAGCCCTTTAGATAGCCATCAACCTGATTCAGCTTTGTATTTAACAATGAAACATATGTGATATCCCAGAACATGGGAACCTGAGGCTGAAAAAAATCTAAGTTGGAAGCTATTCTGGGCTATACAATGCGACCTTGTTTCAAAAAACAAAGCAAGTGTATGCCAAACAAAGTAGAATGGGAAGCCAGGCCTGTTACCTAGCATACTCGAGACTGTACGTTCAGGCCCTAGGATGGGTGGATGAAGGAATGAATACATGAATGCATAAATAAAGTGGGATATCTGAATCTATAAAAATTATTTTATCGTGTTTTGTTTTCCTTTTCATAACTTAAGGGGGTTCTGTCCAATAAAATTAACTTCGTTAACTACAGTGCTGTCAGAATTAAAAGTGATCCAACCCTTTTTTTTTTTGTTTATTTGTTTTTTGAGACAGTGTCTTTCTCCATAGCACTGTTCTGTCCTGGAACCCTGGAACTCACTCTTGTAGACCAGGCTATCCTTGAACTCACAGAGATCTGCACAAAGAATCCCTGTCTTAAAAAAAAAAGGAAAAAGACAACTTTTCATCAGTCTGATTTATGTTACCATTTTGAGTAAAAAAATAAATAAATAAAAAACCCCTAAGTTCTCTATTTAATGTTTTAAAATATGAATATGGGTGGATTTTTTCCAGTTACACTAAAGTAATAGAACAGGGACATTGGTTTGAGAAGTAAGAGCCCTGAACCTAATTATGGCTTGTCTATCAAGTTTGAAAACTGGGGGGGGGGGGTCCGTAAATGCATATGCTTATATGTGTATATAAATTTAAATATGTATATGTGTATATTTCTCCCTCCGTGTGTGTGTATATATACACATATTTAAAACTAGACATAGCAAGATTTGCTTTACATGTCTCTTTTCAGTATTTTTCTGTTATAATTTTAGTAAGTCTGAATGTAGTATGTAAGTGAAGATAGAAATTGAAAAAGCAACATGGCGATTAAGACAAACAAACCCATTGTAAAGAGTAGAGTGAGTATTGGTGTACGAAGGAGCCTAACTAAAAAATATTTCGGCCGAGAGACATACTCAGTATCTTATTCAATGTTATAGTCAACAAATACTCTGTCATTATTACACATTTATCTGGTAAAAGAGTAGGCCAAAACTAATTTCTGATTGTCTTTTGATGAGTATTAACTAAGCATATAATCTGTATGTTAGTTGGAGGGAAAGCATTTCTTTTTATAATTATTAAGAAGTTATTACTAAGTCTGACACATGAATTTAGGATGTTAAACTTTGATGAGATGAGAAGAAAATTATGATGGCTAAAAATGATCACCAGCTTCCCAACAGGTATCTGTATCATACATTATATAGTTTACAAACCATTATCTTAATGTCCCCCTTAATTATAATTGTACCGCCACAGAATGTCTGTATGAAGACAAAAGTGAAATTTTAAAACCATTTCTTTATGTATGTATGTGTGTATGTATGTATGTACGCCTTTACGTATCTGAGGCTTTACCACAGGCTCACAGGCAGGTGTTCAGGTCTGAAGATGAAATTGTAGGTGCCCATTATCTCAAACATCTCACCTATAGGGCTATTAAAACCTCAATTGTATCTACTTAGAACTTAATTAAATGTTCTGAGAACAAGCGAGCAAGTAAAAGACAACCCTAATACATGCTGAGGACATTGAGCACACGGATGTGATGTCTGCTCAGACTGTCACATAAGAGAACACTGAACTGACAGTGGTGAGCTCAGCACTGTGTTGTCAAAAGCAGTGGAGAGAACCTAGTTCCCTTCTTGTACTTGGGAACCTGTAGACAGTGATCACTGTATCTTCTGTCTGTAGTCTGTTCTACTAGAGACAGGCATCTTAATGTTATCTCCCCTCCTCATCAGTCTAGCTTGTTTATACCCCACTACAAAATTTCCAGCATTTTACTGATATTAAATAATTCTTCCTTTCCTCTTCTGCTGCACTTGAGCATCTCCTGTTGACATCAGTGTTGTGAATCAAAATCTGGAAATAGCTTATTCCTAGCTTGGACACCAACACTGTGAAGCTGGCTTTTGGTTTTTGTGCTGGGAATTGAGCTTAGGGCCTCATGCACTCCAGGGCAAGTGTTCTGCCATTGAACTCCATGCCCAGTAAATCAAGACCTCTTGAATACAAACATGTTTGAAACTGCATTCTTATTAATAAAATTAAACACTTTCCTGTTTAACGAGATTGCCTTTCCCTTTGTGGGGTTGTCTCTTAAATACCTGTAGATTGCCTTTCCCTTTGAGGGGTTGTCTCTTAAAATAAAAACCCTGTAGATTGCTCCTAGCTTTTCCCACCATTGCAAATACCCAAAAAGAGAAGGACGTGCTCTCTAGCACACTCCCTCCCTCCCTCTTCCCTGCCTCACTCTCTTTGGAAACTGAGAAGTCAGAGGCAAGTGGGGAAAGATGATTTTTAGAAAAGGAATGCTGGATGCTACAGTAATATTAATTGTACTGTGAGATTTTTTTTTAATCTTTTCTTTTCCTTTTTTTTTTTCTTAAATTTGCCTTGCAAAGGTTTCTTCTTGTGCTGGTGAGTTTTTAGCACCCGGAACTCTCCCACCTGCAACATGAATTTAGTAATCATGTTAGAGACCAAAAGTACTGAGGCTTGTTGACTGCTAACCCTGATTACTGCCAGAGAATTGGCTTAATAAAAGTGTATGCTTTTTTGGTTTTGCCTTGTTTTAAAGGATATACATGTTTTAATAGTGTAAAAAGTTTGTGCATTTAGGCCAGGGAACCTAGTTCCAGTAGCAGAACATGTGACTAGACTACACAAGACCCTGCCTGGCTTCAGTTCAGAGTTAGTCAGTCTGTGTCTTTTGCTGTCTGTCTGTCTGTCTGTCTGTCTGTCTGTCTCTCTCTCTCTCTCTCTCTCTCTCTCTCTCTCACACACACACACACACACACACATACACACACACATACACACACAGTGATGGACAGATTCTCAATGTTGCTTTAGAAGTTTCTACTGATGACTTTGCTTGCTTAAGTCAATTACTTAGAAGAAAGCAACACTGAAATAGAGAAGTCTGCATTCAACTTTAAGGAAATAAGTACCTTTTTTTTTCCTTTCCCAAGTAAAAAAATCAGAAAGCCAGGATAGTATCACACACCCATAATCCCAACACCAGGCTAAGACAGCAGGACCACAAGTTTTACGTCAGATGAGGCAACATAGAAAATTCAAAGCCAGTCTGTCTAAAAAAAAAAGAAAGATTTCATGAGTACAAAAAATATACAGTGTTTTAAATATATTCTATGTAAGTGTTTAGTGAGTGAATTTCCAAGTGTCCTAACAGCTCCTAGCTTCTTGTAATGTACATAAGAGTAGATTATAGACCAAGTCAGTACCACCTGCCATGTGTGGCAGTTTTAACTTGAAGGTAACTTACACCTGTGATTCTAGCACGGAAAAGGCTGGGATAAGAGGACTTTCCACAAGGGTCAGACCATCCATGGCTACACGGTGAGATTCTGCCGGGTGTTTCAGCTCTCCAGTACTCACATGTGCAGTGGACAGCACAGGTGTAGAAAATGCAGAAAACCGCCAAAAAATAGAGGCAGTCAGCTTACAAGTCAGCTGGGGAACAGTGGCTAAAGGGTTTCACAGGTGAAAAGTGTTTCTTTCTTAGAAACGTTTTGTGTCATCATTTTTGTCCTTGGAAAAATCAAGGCCCTGTATTGTGAGCTTTTAATATACTCTTCCCGACGCAATTGTCAGTGCTTTGTCAGCTGATACAGTTAAAGCATTTTACAAATCATTTAATATCTTCAGGCATTTCTCCCTTTGATACTTTTTACATTGATTATATTATCATCAAGCAGAAACTGATAATAAATTGCTTAACTATTATCAAACAAAATTAGTAAACATCATAGCCTTATATTATTTAAATCTATTTATATCTCAGTATCTCATGAAAGTCACCTTTTGTTTCTACCTTGTAGCTTTAAAGTCATGTTTGACTGTCTTCCACTTCAAAGATAGAGTTAGGACCAAAGAATTTGGTTTTCTTCAAATGGTTCCCTGCTCTTAATTTGCTTGGAAGATGAATGCAACCAATTTTTTCTTTATGAAGCAAACATTTGCTTTTACAGAATGTGACTAGGTGGTGAGAACGTTGGAGATATGTACTGGTTTTCTATTATACTAAAGTACTTAATCTAACTTAAAGGGTTATGCCGGTTTATCTGAAATTTTCGAATCAAACTAAGGGACTTCTTTTAAATGTATGTGTCTGTGTTGGTTTGTTGTTACCATTTTTGTTTTCTGAAGTTAGTGATAATGGAGCTCCAACCTAAGACCTTGCAACTGAGATTTGAGACAGGTTCTCTCTTTTTAGCCTTGGCTGGCCTGGAACTCATGGAGATCCACCTGCCTCACCTCCTGAGTGCTGGGATTAAAGGTGTATGCTCCACCACCCCTGACATCAGTTGCAATTCTTGTGAGTCAGACTCGCACTTAGTGACACCTTTCCTAAGAGGTCACAGTGCTCTTCTTGTGTTTTAAAACTTTGATAATCAGGCAACAGAATCACAACTGTATTTCCAATTTCTAAGCAAGTTATGAAATTATTACTGTGATGCGAGTACAGATGAGCACATATGTATGTGTTTGTTTTGTTGTGTTCAACAAAGACTCAAGGGTTAAGGATAATTTTCAGTATGCTCTAAATAAGTAACAGTTTAGTGCAAATATAGGAAATGACCGCACACGGATGCTGAGCAGTGATCTGGCACCTCGTTTTCATAACTACCTACTTTTTAAAATAGCTTTAGTTACTTACAATTCAAAACCACTAAAATACTATCATCCCTAATTTTGGCATTTAGAGATTCTGTAATTCGTAATACTTTGTACTCTGAAAAATAATTTCCAGATTTGTTGCAGTTCTCGTTGAGAGTTACTTACCATTTATAACACACATCTTTTACTATTTTATTATGTCATGGGTAGCAAAATTCAAACATGCTTAATAATTTGCCTTATTTAGACTAAGAAATTCAAAATACCAGAAATATAAAGATAGGGAGATATTTGTTTCCCTATGTTTTTTTTCCCTTTTTCAGATGAGCTGGAAAACACCTAAGTATATTGAGGCTGACTGCCCCTTACGTTGTTGCCAGCTTCATGTTTGACACTGGGTATTTCCCACCTTGCATCCTAGCCATTCTAAAGGTATTAGTTATCTTCCCACTCTGGAAGACTGTTGAATTTGTAGTAGTTTTATTCTTTGTAACATAATCCAAAAATGATGTCACTTTAAGCTCTGCATTTCTCACTTCAAGTCATTTCTAACGTTATATTACGGTGTTCAAGCATTTTTTCCTCCTGTTTACCCAGTTTGCCAGTTGCGTGCTTTGTCTTACAACTGGCACGTTTCCCCACTGTTGTGCCACAGTAAATGACTTTTTAGAGCTGTCTTCTCCAGTTAGAAATCCTAACTAAAGTCACAACAACAAAGTTCTGAGAAACCATCAAAAGGAAGGGTTTTTAATCTTACATTTCCTTTTGGTTCATTTTGATTTTATGACTGCCAACTTGTTATATATGAGTGTTTATATATGCATATAATATATGTATATGAAAAAGTTAAGATTTGGTCAAACTATATTTTCCCATTCAAGTACAAAAAAATGTTTTCAAGGCTGCAAAAAGTGTACAGTTGTTAAACAAGTTGTAAATAAAGACTTGTATAAAAATCCAGCTCAGATCTTGTTTTTTCTGCTCTGTTACAGACATTTAACAGTTGTCTGATTTTTACACTTGATTGTGCACTTGGTGTTGTTAGGGGGCAGATGGACCTTAACAGTCTTGGAAGCCATTGAGGATGGGCACTCCCTCACAATCAGCCTTAACCCACCTTCATTTCCAGGCACCACTGAAGCAAAGGGAAGCACCCAATTAACACCTTTCTTAAGATTTTACGTGAAAGGAAAAGAGGAGGTATCAGGGCTTTAGGGAAAACTATTCCTTCTACTCAAAAGAATGGGAGCTGCCTTCTGCCCCTACCCTAAAATTGTGATAACCCTCCCCCCCCACACACACACTTAAGGGTTAATCCAAGCCAGGCATGGTAGCACATAATTAATCTCAGCACTCTGAGGCAGAAACAGGCAGATCTCTGTGATTTTGAGACCAGCATGGTCTGCAGAGAGTTCTGGGACAACCAGAGCTACATAATTCAAGTGGGCTCATCAATCAGTATGTTAAAGCAATTGAAATTACCTGGCGCAAGTGAGAAAGAAACACGGAACACACAACAAACTCGCTTAGGAGTTTATTAGAGGGGGTGTGTACATACCTGGAAAGTCGGTGTGCAGGGAGAGACAAAGATGGCACATCCAGCTTTTAAAAGCTGCCTAGCACATGCGCACAGGGGGTTGATGTGACCATGTCATATGCAGATGATGGGGCTCACGCATGTGCACAAGGGCTTATCTGAGTCATTCGTGGATGGCTCGTGAGATGAGCAGGGGCCTTTCAACATTCCCAGGGGTCATTAGGCACTTCTGCCTGAGGGCTTGTCTGCACCTGCATGACCCCTCGGCCCTGGAAGAATCAGCCTTATGTGGCTGCAATCTTTACAGCAATGGAAAGACAACGTTTCCTTAATGAAATGGTATAAATTTCACCCCAGAAGACTGTCCCTCTACAGCCTTCTTACATTTTCTTACAGATCTTCACGCTAGGTCTTCTACCTTTTCTGTTCAAACTCAGTTTTCCTTTTCCTCTGTCTTTCTCCAGATACTGGCCAAGGTCCCCAGTACACTTGCCCTGACACTAAACACTATCACTTTCTCAGAAGACTCCTTTCAGCCCCACCCCTGTGTCCGATTGCCGATGTCCACTGCTGAGCCTGCTTGTCTTTTGGACCCAGCCCAGGAGGCATGACCTCCTTCCTCTCAGCCATCCCCTTTCTCCCAGAAGCTGCTTAGATTTACAGCTTGCCTGCCCTGTTGTTTCTCTCTCACACTTGCAAAATGCTCTCCAGCTTTCTGAATCTTAAAATTCTTTTACCAACAAAACTAAGAAATCACAAAAGGGAACATGTGTTTCCTAGAAAAGCTTAACTTGGGCTGTGTCAAAAGGTTGGAGAGGAAGTACTAGTGAGATGCCTTAGTGGTTAAGAGTTTAATTCCCAGCTACCACATGGTGGCTCATAACCATCTGTAATGGAATCTCATGTCCTCTTCTGGCATGCAGATGTACATGCAGACAGAGTACTCATACCTAAAAAATTAACTTTAAAAAGTGCGGATGAGAGCCGGGCGGTGGTGGCGCACGCCTTTAATCCCAGCACTCGGGAGGCAGAGGTGGGCGGATCTTTGTGAGTTTGAGGCCAGCCTGGTCTACAAGAGCTAGTTCCAGGACAGGCACCAAAGCTACAGAGAAACCCTGTCTCGAAAAACCAAAAAAAAAAAAAAAAAGTGCGGATGAGGGAGCTGGAGAAGTGGTCCAGCGGTGAAGAGCATGGAGTGTTCTCGCAGAGGACATGAGTTTGGTTCCCATCACCCATGTCAGGCAGGTAATAACATAACCACTTACAACTCTACCAACTTGGGAACCCCACACCTGTGGCCTCTGCTGACACCTGCACATATGCACAACCTACACATGTACTCAATTAAAATTAAAAAAAAACTTTTTTAAAAAATGCAGATAAGACATATAGAGCACAGTGTAGGAGACAGAGCTTATTACAGAGGGATAGGATAGCAGTGACCAAAGGCACTACTACAGAGAACACCCTAGAGAGCGTTGATGATGGCAAAGAAATAGACAGTTGTGCAAACCTACATAGTAGGTGTGTGGTAGTTTCTGAGCTCTGTAATGGCTTCTCATGTACATTAACTCTCAAGGGAAGGGATATATCCATGTATCTGGGCCGTTTAGATTACTGAGTCTCAATGCAGGACTGGAGACAGAACTCAGATTTTATTCATTTAGCCAAAAATAACAGTTCTGGGGCAATACATGAGTCAATAAAATGCTTGCCAGACAATCATGAAGTTTTGAATTTTGAAAGCCCAGTGTGGTGATGTACTTATAATGCCAGTTCTGAGGTGGTAGAGACAACTCACGCCAGCCTCATCAGTGGGTTCCAAAACAATGGGACACCTTTTCAGAAAACAAGATGAATAGCTCCTGAGCAAGAGCCGAAGTTACCCTCGGTCCTACACACCCCTGCTCACACGTGTGAGAAGAAAGTCATGTAACAGAGTAGGTTAAATGTCAAAAGTCTGTAAAAGCAGGGCTGTTTACCAGGAAAACACCCTTCACACAGGCCTCAAGGCAGGCAGCCTCTCTCCCTTTTATATGGCATCTTAAATCAAGGAGGGGTGTCTGTGTCACATGGGATTTCCAGTCCTAAGGAGGGTGGAAATTGTGATATTTCCCCTTTCCTTGAAATATGGTATGAAGGCACTGGAGGGAACCTGATTTGGGGGGGGTGGGGGTGGGAGTTGCCCATCCTCAATAAACTTCAAGCCTATTAATGTCTAAGTAGCTATATAATTCTGCCAGTCATTTCCAGTAAATCAATATCCTTTGTTTTCCCACTGTGATAATTTGTGATTTAACCTGTTGTGGTGTGTGTGAACCAATATCATACTGTCTGCAGTTAATAAACCTTTAATGAACCACTCACCTGAAGAATGGCCTGTCTTGGTGTCTCTCTTTCTCGAGTCCTGCCCTCTCTTGATCCTTGTTCATAGTTAATTTATATGATATTTTTAATTGTTCCTTATTTTACTGTGTGTGTGTGTGTGTGTGTGTGTGAAGGCATCTGCAGAGTCCAGAAGGCTCCCACAGAGCTGGAGTTAGAAGAGATTATGAGCTGCCAAATAGGATTTAGGAACCAAAATCAGGTCCTCTGTAAAGGCAAGTACATGGTTTTAACCACTGAGGTATATATCCAACTCCTGGCCAGAATTCTTTTTTTTTTCTTTTTTTTTAAGTAAATTTTATTAAATTATAAAAGTTTCCATTTCCGCCCCCCCTCCCAACACCCTCCCACTCCCCCCACTCCCCCTCCTCCTCCCTCTTCGTCCCCCAGGGCAGTCAGGGTTTCCTGCCCTGTGGGAAGTTCCAGTTCCTTCCCCCTCCCTCCAGGTCCAGGAAGGTGAGTGTCCAAACAGACTGGATCCCCAAAATCCAGTATATGTAGAGGAAACAGGTCCCAGTGTCATAGTCAATGGCTTTTCAGAAAGACCCCGGGCCAGCCACAGTCAGAGAATCCGGCCAAATTCCAAGAATCTGGTTAGATCACGTCCTCGTTCAGTCCCAGTCCAACTGGCCTTGGTAAACTCTCATCAGATCCGTTCCCTTGTATCAGTGGGTGATAGCATCCCTCGCAGTACTGATTTCGTTTTTCATGTTCTTCCTCCTTCTGTTCCTCATTTGGACCTCAGGGGGCTCAGTCCGGTGATCCAATGTGGGTCTCCGACTGTACTGGCCAGAATTCTTAAAAGTAAAAATTAAACGTGACTTTTCGTCTTGGAATTAACAATGAGGCAGAATTGAAAGATAGGGGAAATTATGGGGACATGGGGAGGGAAAAGAGCCTTTCATGCTGAAGTCTTGTTTAAATCTTGACGGTTGTGAGTCAAGAGTCACATGTGTAGCACTAATTCCAATTGTTCTTAATAAAAACAAAAACACAGAGTCAGATATTTGGGGGCGAAAGCTGAGAGATCAGACAAGCAGTACAGCCAGCCACTAGAGAGACCTTTTGCCTCTACCAGTGCTCAGACCAAAAGGGCGATCCTGTCCTCAGACTGCCTCCTCTTGACTAATCGCTTCAGACTGCATCTCCAGACTGCATCCTCGGACTGCAACTGTTTCCACCAAACCTCAGATTGCATCTCCAGACTACAACTTCAGACTGCAATGAGCTCCTGTCTCCTCCCACCTTATATTCCTCCCCCTTCCCAGCCATATCACTCCTGTCTCCACCTCCTTAGTGCTGGGATTAAAGGCAGGGGATCCCAACTGCTGGGATCACCTTTGTGTGAGCTCTGTTTCTCTTTTAGACAGATTCAATCTTGTGTAGCCTAGGGTGGCCTTGAACTAACAGAGAACCCTCTGCCTCTGTCTCCAGAGTCCTGAGATTAAAGGTGTATGCCACCACTGCCTGGCCTCTAGTGGCTTAGCTCTGCATTCTAATCTTCAGGTAAGCTTTATTTGTTAAAGCACAAACAAAAAAAAATCACTACAAATGAGGGCTGAAGAGAGGGCTCCATAGTTAAGAGCACTGGTTACTCTTGCAGAGAGCCTGGGTTTGTTTCCCAGTGCCCACATGGCAGCTCACAACCCTCTGTAACTCAAGTTCCAGGGCATGTATGTTATGCAAAAGTCATACACGCTGTCAAAATACCCATATACATAATAAAAATTCCAACACAAACAGCATTTGTGGTAAAAGTTGTTAACAAAAAGAAAACATTTTATATAGAGAGATTCCCAATAAGAATGTTAAAATGGCAACAAGGTATGCATAGGACCTAAAATTGCTTTTCTCCTTTCACAACTATAAACCTGTAGTTTTTGAGGTTTCTAAGCAGAAACCCCATTTGCTGTATAAGGATATCTCTAAACTCCTATTGTAAGGAGAGTCAGGTTTATTCATCCTGGTCACCCAGCTAGTTTAGCCCCGAAAGAACCACACAGAAACTGTACTAATTAAATCACTGTTTGGCCCATTA